TTTTGGGGCATATTGTTAGTGAATGAGGAATAGAGGTAGATAGAGTAAAAATAAATTCTATAATTAATTTATCTCCATTCAGTTCTATTCGTCAAATTAGATCATTTTTAGGGCATGTTAGTTTTTTATAGAAGATGTATTAAGATTTTTTAAAAATTACTTGACCTCTTATAGCTTTACTTGCTAAAGATATATTATTTAATTTTGATCAAGCATGTTTAGAAGCATTTTCTATACTTAAGAATGTATTGACTAAAGCATCTATCTTACAATTGCTTGATTTGTCAATTTCTTTTGAAATTATGTGTGATAAATCAAATCATGTAGTGGGTGTTGTTTTAGGTCAAATGAATTGATAAAATAATAATAATAAATTATTATACAAGAACTATCTCTGATGTATAGATGAATTTTACCACTATAGAGAAAGAACAACTTGCAGTGATCTTTACTTTAAAAAAAATAGATCTTATATTTTAGGATCTAAAGTTATCATGTATTTTGATCACATGCATTTAGAATTAACAGAAATCATGAAGTTAGGTGTAAAGAGGTTGAAACTTCCATAAAAATTATTAGAAGCTACACATTCTTAGTATGAGGTATCTCAAGTAGTTGACCATTATGTACTAAAAATAAATCTTGGATTTTTTTTTCAATCTCAAGTCATGGGCATCAAATATCATTTGTGCATATATGCTTTAAATTTGAAAATACTCATAACTATTACTTTTCATATTGATGTCCAAATAGATAATCATTGTATATTTTATCAATCTCTTATACATGTTGGTTGGTCAATTGATCACTATTAAAACACTTTGGGGATATTAAGGCTAATGAAGTCAAACAAGTTAGACTCACTCCCTCAATAAGTTTTGCTGCCAACTCTCTCTCTCTCTCTCTCTCTCTCTCTTTCTCAATCTACCTTACCTTATTTGCTTACAAAGTTCCTTTCTCATACGAATCTCATCTCTACATGAGAAACTCCCTTTCCAGCTCTCTCTTATAAGGACTCCACTCCTCTAAAGGCAGTGTCTTTAATTTTACAGTTTAGTACTATTCCTCCTTTCACCCTAGTGTGACCCCCACACTCTATTCCCCTCCTCCTGGTCATCAATCCCCTATCTAATTGACCCCCACACTCTATTTTACAGTTTACCCCCTACCATTTTTCCCTTTTGTACCCTTACCAGCTTTCTTATTCTATCAAGATGGCAATATTTCTTAGAACATTTTATCATGTTATACTATTAATAGTAATGGATCTTTTGTCTCAAAAGATTATTTTGATATATTCTTTATATTTGCATATTTTTGCATCTCTACCTTTATTTGTATCATATTCAAGGAATATCTTTTCTTTTTTCTAGATACCCCATCATCTGCTTTGAATCGATAGACTTTAGATCTTGGCCGTTGAATACTTAAGAAAACCACGGTGGTCCGAAAAATGACGGCGGGTTATTTTAAGCCCCCCACTCCTTCCCGGGTTCTGAGTCACGGGAAAACCGCCCTCTGTGGACCACGGTTTCAGTCTGGTCGGGTGTTACGAGGTGGGTTTAATTTCTTTCTTTCTTTGTTCTTTGTCTGTGCTCTCCGGGACCACGCGAATGTACGAAGCCGCTGTTCTGTGGATCCGCGAGGAGCTCGCTCGCCGTTCCCCTGAGCAATGCGTCTATCGGTCTTGATCGTTCTCGGGAGCCCACTGGAAGGAACCGAATAGGTCCTACGCTCGGAGCTCTCCTCGTCTCCTAGGAGCGCGATCCTCCCTCCCCGGTTTTCTTCTCCGAGGAGTCTACTCCAGCTGTCGATTTTGATTTTTCTCCTTTTATATCATCGTGTTCCTAAGTGGAATTTTCGGACTTTCAGACGCTATTATTTTCTTGGTGTCCTGATTGGTTGAAACTCTTTTGCTACGATTTGATTAGTTTGTGTCAAGGCCCGAGATTGGGGGAGTTTCACGAGCTGATAGTAATATTTTCTCCTTGAAAGTTTGAGTGATTTTTAGCGAAAACTACACCTGGCGTCTCTTCTGATTGTCATCGCTGTTATTGCTGTCGCATCAATCTGTTCTGCTCCCTTTTCCCTTCTCTGGGAGAGTTTCGATGGATGTATTTTCTCGTGTAGATTTTTCACTAATCATCCACAATCCTTCTCTCTCGTGTCACTGACGTGATTTGTATCTCTTTCATCGAATGGATTTCTGAGGACTATATATCTCTTCCTTGTTACTTGGCATGCAGAGAAAAGAACGTGAGTTGCGATCCACGATTTTTGGTGCTAATCGAAGGGGAATCGTTTTTTTCACCTCTTAGGTATACTTTTCGCACAAGTACATAAGATCAGATATATTTGACCGGAACGACTTTACTTGTTCTTTACCTTGCGTAATCTGTATCCTATGTGTTTCTTTCTCTCGAACAATGTGGTTTATGTCTGTCCTGGTTTGAAGCTTGTTTCTACTTTCTCTGTAATGATAAAACCAGGACAGTGTGATTCGGTGGTCTTGAAGATGGAAAAGAGACTAGAATCTTTCCTACTTGTTAATTATTATTATTTTGATTGTTAAATCTGTAAACTTATCAATACACACCTTTGTTTCCTGTAATTCTGGATGGCTCGCCTGTTCGTCACTCTCTATCCCACTTGACGAATTAATCTTGGCTGGGGATTCCTATTGTTGGTGAAACCATTCAGGTTGCAAGTTATAGCCAACAATGGTGGCTTATGGTCAACATTTTTAAGTCCTTATACACTAATGTCCGTTGATTTTGCTGGCACTAAGAAATAGTCGACCCTTGTATATATTGTGGTACCTCGTCAATCTTTCACTAGGTTCAATCTTTTCATAGGCAATCGGATATTGTGGTACATAGTTTTGTTGTGTCATTTGGTTTATTAACTTGTCTTCTAGTGTATTGAATGGGCATTCCCACTTCTCACCTTATTGGCTTATGAGTACCTCCTTGCTGTTGATGTCTTTTGGGATTTACTATTTAGGACTGCTGTGAGAATGATGCTCTTGCCTCTTCATTTCCTTATGATTGTGCTTAAGCATACCTACCAAGCTACACCCGACAAAAACTTCTGGATTAGGATCTTGTACCGTTTGAAATAAAAAAAATTTGAGCTACACTTGACAAAAACTGCTACATTAGCATCTTATTTCGTTTGAAATAGAAAAAACTTGATAACACTTTTATTTAGTAGACTGAACTTCATGATATTTTTATTTCTGAGAATTGGAAGCCATATTTTTGTTTTTCCATTTAAGCTGAGTCCTGATTTTGAGGTTTATGTTGTGATCATATCATTTGGCAGGACCTGTAGTCTTTACTACCTTGCCAATCAAATACAAGGTAATAATCTAGGTTATGGTTTATGTTAATTTTGATATGCTGTTCTTAATAACAGCTGTGGGTGAATGTGACGCTCTATTAGTTGCTCCGAGAATATATTTGGATTTTCATTAAATTTGAACAGCCGACTGTGCTAAAAACGTTTCTAACATTTGTATCACAAGGAACGTGGTTATCATAATAACATAGTTCACTTCCTATTTATGCCATGACATGCGACTAATGAAAGCTAAAAGTAAAATGATAAATGTCATGACAGTTACATAAATGCAAAACGCTTGAAACGAGGATTTTTTTAGGCCCATATTGGCAGAGTAGATTTAATTGATTACACAGCAACACGGCTATCCTATTAAATGCCTGATTTTATATGAGGCCTTTATCATGCTTCTCAGACTGCTGTTTTTTACATTTATTTTCAGAGTATATCCTATTAAATGGCTGTTATTTGTTACTGGGAAACGACTCTGGTTCTCTATTTGGTTCTCACATTTTTTTGCATTTATTCTCCATTTCTTGTCAATTTATTGGATTCTCTATTTGGTGCCTTAAATAAATGACTTTCTTGGACATTATATTGCACGCATTGCGCAACAGATAAAGACTACATGCTGCTTCTTTCTACGGATAAGCATTATATTTTATCTCTCTGAAGGCTCTATATTTTGCCTCCTTAACAGCCAAAAATCCTTCAAGTTTTATGTTTGCAAGAATCAGACGACTGTGTTTTATTTGTCCGTTTAAAATTGACCTTCATTTGTATCTGTCCTTCTTCTTCATAGTTTCAGATAATTAACTTAAAAAAGGGAGAATTGTGTGTTTAGGAATTCCAAAAAAAAAATTGAATTTTTCACTCTACTTACCTAAACAATAAACAAGATATAATTTTAAGAGAGAAAAATGAGGAGGTTTTTCCATTTCTTCTTTGTTCTGGTACCTCGTGGTTGTCCAAATGTGACTCCAGCAAGTCATAAATATATGCTTGGAATTGATGTATACTATTAGGTTGTACTTTTGAATGGCTTTAAGATTGATGATCCGCCATAAAAGCCTTTCATATGTTAGACCATGCATTCATCCAGAGAGAAAAAGACTGGTGAATTGGACTTCATTTGAAAGAATGAATCTTGTTGAGCTACATATGTTACTGTGAATGCACAACTAGAGTGGTCAATTATGTTACTGTGAATGAATCTATCGAATGCTGTCATGTGCCAAGTATGAAAGTACTAGAAAGCGTCATATGTTGCTGCACTGGGAGCATAATGTTTTGTGCAAATATTTATTAACATCTGCATGTTGTGTAGTTTACATCTTACGGAAGGAAAACATTAGTCCTTCCTTTGTTGATATCCTGTGGAACTTTTCTGATGCTGTCGTTCTACTTCAAATAGAACAGCATCAAGCATTTTCTTTTAACATCAGATCATCTTATTTTTCCCATCAAGTGTTTTCTTTGATATGATTAATAAAACTTGTCACCTTGTTTTCTTTTTTTTTCCAGTGCATTGCCAATGTATCAAGGTTAAATTTTTCAAGTAGCTAGAAAAGATTAGGATAAGGGTGAGCATCCTGATCCTGTACAAAGTTCTTCATAAGAGAGAATTTGACAGCCGGTAGCATCTGTCATCACTAAAGATGTCAATCTTATCAAAGCTTCGATGTATCACCATTGACGTCACTGGTACCCTAATAGCATACAAAGGCGAACTTGGTGATTACTATTGCATGGCTGCTAAGTCTGTTGGGCTTCCTTGTCCAGACTACAAGCGCATGCATGAAGGCTTCAAGAATGCTTATTCAGAAATGGCAAAACAGTACCCTTGTTTCGGACATGCAGCAAAAATGCCAAATATTGTCTGGTGGCGGACATGTGTGAAGGATTCGTTCATCAAGGTAATTGAAGTTTGTCTTATTCATCCTAAAATATATATGTATTTCTAATTCAGCACTGTACATCACGAGGAGCGAAATGGGCTAATTTGGGATACTATTTTTGGCAGACTTTTTTGGATAAACTAATCTGAAAACTTCCACGTCGTTCAGTTTTTTATTTGCTTTATGATTGATTAAACATTCTAGAATTACTTTACCTGGTCTATTTACTAGTTCCCAAGATTTTTCTAAAAGACCCCTCTTATGGTAAAGTTTTGGCAAAGATGGCAGTAAGTTATCTAATTGTTGTTTACCTGCCTCATTAATAACAATCATGTGAGATTACGGATTGTATGCAGGCTGGTTATGATTATGATGATGAAACATTTGAGAAGGTATTTAAGCGTATCTATGCCTCTTTTGGTTCCTCTGCGCCCTACTCTGTATTTCCAGATTCGCAACCATTTCTTAGATGGGCACGTCAGAACAATTTGATTGTTGGGATTGTAAGCAATGCAGAGTACCGGTACCAAGACGTTATCCTCCCTGCCTTGGGATTGAATAAGGTACCAGAACTGTACCTTTGCATCCCTTTCTCATCATCTATCTTCTTACCAGATACAATATCATTTGATTTGGCATTTCTCTTATATCATCATTGATGTAAAATTCTTGACATTTTCGTAAGTTTCATGAATCCAAGGAGTCAAGGTATGTGATCCGTGGACCCTTTTTTTTTCTGTCTAAATGTTAATGGCGGTGGCAGGGATCTGAATGGGACTTTGGTGTCTTCTCTGGGATTGAGGGCATAGAAAAACCAGACCCTCGGATTTATGAGATTGCATTAGAGAGGGCAGGAAACGTGGCACCAGAAGAAGCATTGCATATTGGTGATAGCATGCGCAAAGATTACATGCCAGCCAGAAGTATCGGAATGCAGGCCCTGCTCTTAGACAGATTTAAGACGGCTGATGCAGAGAACTGGAGGAAGGCCGGCGCCCCGGTCCTTCCCGACCTTGTAGCTGCTCGAGCTTGGCTTACCAAGGAAGAGAAGGTTGCTGCAGGGCAGTAAACATGGGAGCCCCTTCACACCAAACTGGTATTCTCGTTCACCCAATTCTCTTTCACTGAAGTCTGGGCTGCTCGAATGCTCTCTGGTTCAGTGTAGGGCAATGGTTTTTACCTAAATAGGTTAAAGGATGTGTCCGCTTGAATCTTTCAAATTGTGGACGATTTTCCCTGCTATATGATGATGGACTCATGATTGAAATGAGCAGCGGACGAGGCTGAGTTGCTGGAAAGATCTCAGCGTCTCTGACATTCTTGTGCTCAATCCCCTTTTTTATGTATTAGTATAACGTAAAACCAGAGGTCCTGGAATGAAGGAATGATTCTGTGCTCTCCGAATCTCATCTGATCCTGAATGCAATTTCGTTCTTCATCTTCTAGGTTGTCTTCATCAGTATAAGAATTTCCCTCATTATCAGTATCTATATCATCATCATCATCACCATACTTTATTGAGTTGTCCAGTTCTCTGAGGATCAGGGTTATGCATCTGATTTAATCACTCTACTGAATACCCATTCAAGATGCTTAATTTATCTTCTTTCTTCTTTTTTTGATTCATCCCGTCGTATTTTCCAAGGCAGCATGGTATTTTCGAAGCTTACATTTTTGGATTCCATGCATGCATTTAATGTGTTTTTTTTTTACGCGACTAGCTTAATCAAATCAATCTCCTGAGATTTATTCATTCGATTTTCACGTACTTAGTTGCCATCTAGGTAATTACTGAATTATCCCTAGAAAAATAAACCATGGCTCAAATCGTCGCATCATTTCTTGGCCCAAAGGAGGAAATTGTTGGGCACAAAACATTCAATTCTATTTCGCATGAGAGGAAGAGAGAGAGACTCCTTCCCCGTTCTCTCTCTCTCTCTCTCTCTCTCTCTACCACCGTCACATGACAACATACCGATCAGTCGCGCAGTTACCCTATTTTCCATACTTCCGATATCACATACTGCATCAATCATATGAGTAAACGTGAAACATGAATGCAGAGACTGCTTAGAAAACTGCAGATACAGACATTCGACACCCGGCCACAGGAACTCTCAAATCAGCGAACGGTGACCGACATTCTACGGCTCAACGTCCTGTACAGGAGCTCTCTCGAAACCCCCCTTCGCGTTCAGTAGTGTACATAATCAGAGTGCTTGCTCAATCATCTCAGCTCTACCATCAACAGAAACTCTTCTGCAGCGAAAAAAACGAATCCCACTGGTCAGCCATGGAGAAATGATATGATGCCCGGCGCAATGTGAAAGCGCCCGAATGGCAACAGCATGAAAGCAGGGCAGCCCACAGCGATCACTGGCGCCCGAGCTCCTGATAGTAGTCAGATAACAACAGCAGATGCAATCACGACGCAGGGAATGGAGGGAGCAGCAGGGGCTGAATAGAAGTGCTGGGAGACTGCCAGGCGTTGACAAATGTAGAAACAGTCTCTGGTGATGCAACGATATCACCTACAGACTGGGCAACACGGGGCAACCACTGGGGGTATGGGGATTGCTCGCAGAGTCTCTGATTGCAGTGACGATTCAAGGAGAGGGGAACCGACTGACATCTCTGGATCTCATGCATACGGGACTGGACCAATCGAACACAAGTGCTGGAACTCAAGTCCGATTTCTGTAGGAATAGAGTTGGAACAGTTGCAGAAGATTACTGAAGTTGTATGCTTTATTGGACCTAAATGACCAGCAAAACAACCCAATAAAGAAGTAATCATTCAATATCAACAAAGGTTTTTAAAAATTGGGAAATCGATCCAAAGGTTAAGAGTCTCAGTGTCCAACGTCCTTAATCTCTCTCCTCATAACATTCAGAAACGGAATAACATTTATAACTCGAAATGGGCACGTACACATGTATACCATTTATGTCCCTACCCACTATGTTGTGTCAAATGAATTGAGCATCCATTATTAGATCGGTTCTTCTATTCAGTGGTAGATTCAGCATGAAACTGTTAAACCACTGTTGTCTCACAGCTAAATCCAATGTCAGGGTTCCTGGGTATCAACTTCATCTTTCTCTGGTAGAAGTTCACTAAGGTTTCACCATTATTATTATATCTCCCATGTTACTCTCAAAATATTAGTGAGATTCATCTTCTTGTAAACTAGTACATCCGGTTGATAAGCATGCTGTTCAAATGAAATAATATGTTTGAATGACTTCGGAATCTCTACCAAAATAACGAGGTGCATAAGATATCTTCATAGTTTTAAGAGATTATTATCATTGCAAAGATACTTGCCAAGTACGTGAAGGAACGACCATTGTCCCTAGAAACCATAATGCTGCTACTGGTACGCTGACTGGACATGTAAAAAAATTGAAAATAATATGGTGGATTTATCACAAACGGAAAGACCGCATAACAAAAGAGTCAAGGCTTCTTCTATTAAATCTGAAGCGGGAAATGATGTTGGGGTGGGTTGATGGCGGCTCTGCTTACAGGCAATGGAAAGCAGAGAATAAAGAGAGCAATGGAAAAATGGAACACGTTTACCCCCCCTCACCCCCAACACAACAATCTGTTCTAGTGTCAGGCTTTGACCAGTTGAGAAATAGATTATAACCCCATAGATAATCTATTAACCTTGGTACTCTGTGTTCCTGAGTGTAGGTGATACACCAATATCACCTGTAGAGTGAGCAAATGGTTGAAATTCCCACCGCAACAATAAGCAGTGGCTACCATGGCAGATACTAACAGGAGAGCGATCATGGAATGCCAGATGGACCGTTGCAGCTGTGCATTGACCATGGGCACTGGGTTATCAGCGACAAAGGGCTGGACAGACTGCAGAGTACCCAAGGTCAGGAAGTCACGCAAAGAGGCACCTCCAACCAACAGAATTGACGGAAAAGGTATGATGTCGCTTCGTTGGCACAGTGCATAAGGTGGGTAGAGATGGACAGATGGTGATGGCTGACAGCGAGAGGAGAGAACAGAGAGAGAGAGAGAGGAACGATGGGAGTGACAGGAGAAGACATCCACACCATGTAGAAGAGAAGGGTACCGAACACATTCAAGCACTTCCAATTTTCTCAAAGGATTCTTGCCTCATGTGGGCCTTATATGAATGGAAATACACACATGGGGCAGCTAAATACGGTAAAGAGAAATGAAAATTTTCACAATATCCCATGAAAAGTTACATACAAAGAAATACCTGAAACTATCTAAAAATTCCATAAAAAATATCCTATGTTCCATCAAAATGGGAAAATATTAGTTGTAGTTCTTCATAAAATTATTGCTATGTTTATTACGAATCGTCTTGGGCGGTCACTAACCAATATAGAATTATCAAACAGAAAAAAAGAAACATCTGCAATTCATAATCAAGAACTAATGGAACAACATGAAGATCTGTGGTATCACATTAATTTTCTTTCTTTTGTTTTGTGACATCAGAATGTAGTGTGTTGGTCCCCTTGTCATTTCTTTCAGTTTGAAGCTTTGAGAATGAAGTTCCGTATGAAGTTTGTTATCCAATCAAGATGGCTCCTCTGAGATACCAAGAAACTTTAGCCTGTGGAGTCTATCAGCAGAAGGTTAACTGCCACGAGCTCTCAATGTTCCAATGGCTACTCTCTTTCCTTTATATGTAGATGAGATGATCTGATACAGTAGAACCATCATGTTTGTCCTTCCAATGTCTTTCCAATGCCCTTCCATTCTTCTTCTTCTTCCACTTTGTGCAGCTCCCTTTTTTTTTTGTTACTACAATCAGAAGGCTATTCTCTGCTTTAGAATCTATGTCTAGTGGCCAGAGGTGAAGGAGGAGATCTTTCTAGATGATTGCGAGCCTTAACTCTTACGTTTTGGCTGGCAGAAATATTTCCCAGATAAAAGCAGTATTCCTGGATATTCTTGAGCCAGTCTGATCAGTTCCGCCAGCCACATCTGGATCGACTTCTATAGAAATTAGCCAACACAGGCTGGTATGCCTGAATCCCTTCCAAGACAATTCAAGAGACGCTTAATTTAGCAACTCTTACTAATATAAAATGGCTTATTCGATCCGGAATTCGCAAAACTTGATGATTCAGAACTCATGTTTCAATACAAAACTTTGGATAATAAATTAACACCAAATTGATAGGTCCAGTACATAACAGAAGAATCTTCCATCAATGACAATATTGACAACCTTATTCTGATATGAAGGATTCTAAATCCTGAAAATTCATATCAACACATCAATTCAATCTAAACCATGAAAGATATAATAGCTGTCACAACAGTGCATGAAGAAAATATCCATCCATCCGTTACATCTTAGCAATTACCCAATAATCCGAATATGATCATATCCACTGGCTACTCTGTAATTCCCAGGAGGATTTCTCCATGCTAAAAGATGATATAAACTTATATTACTTGAATGAAGCGATCAAGCATTAAAACATTAAATGGAAGCGATCACAGAAGTTAATAAATCCAATGTAGGATAAGACTTGAATCGTGTGAGAGGAAAATTTGATAACGAAACCATAAAGACAGAAAAAGAAGTCAAGTGAGGACATACCGAATCAATCAATATGCTCTCCGCACACCCTTTGGTTTCTTAACAAAACTAAGCCTCAGCTTCCTCAACCGCTTCCTCTTCCTCTCCATCTTTTCTGGCAAAGTCAGTCTTCGTGGCTTCTTCTTCTCTTTTGGCATTTTCACGTATCTGGGGTCCACGCTGTATGCTTGTGCTGCGAGTGTCACTCCACGAGCAACTGCCTCCTTAAGCAGAGTATTGGCCCTGCAGACCTGGTTATGGGCCCACAGCTTCTCAATCAGCAGGCCATAAGTCTTGACCCCTGGCACAAACCCATAGCCCTTTGCCATCCTAAACACCTTCATTGCATGATCCACCCTCTCGATCCCACACAGAACCTTGATAAATCCATAGTACGCGTTTGTATCCAATGCGGCACCAAAACCTGCCGACCGCATCTTCTCAACCATCTCATCACCTTCAGAAAGCCGGGCCGCCTGGTAGAAACTTCTGATCAGAGCGAGGTAGATTTCAGCATTGGGAGAACATCCCCACTGATCCATCTTATGAAACATTTCCATGGCATCGTCAGTTTTGCGTATCTTGCAGAGATTGGAAATAAGAACATGAAATGTGCCAGTGTCGCGGGGCACCCCTCTGGCCTCCATCTCTGTCAGGACCTTGCCAGCCTCTGACTGCAATCTCAGGGGGTCTTTCTTACGGCAGAGGCGACAGATACAGTCGAGAATAGAGTTGTAGGCTGGCGTGCCCAACTCGAATCCCCCCCCACTCATCTCCCCCATCAGCCGTAGGGCCTGGTCCAGTTTCCCATCGACACACCAGGCACGGATGAGCTCATGGCAGATATTCACATCAGGGAAGATCTTGTCGGCCACGTCCCTGACAATTCGCTCCGCGTGCCCCCCAAATCCGTGCTCGGAGAGCATCGACACCAGCGCACGGAGGAGCTCCCGATCATGGCCAATCCCGTAGTCCTTCTCCAGGTTCTGGAAGAGGTGAACGGCCTGGGTCGACCTTCCGGCGCGGATCAGGCGATCGAAGGCGGCGCGGAGAGTTTTCGGGCCCACGTAGCGGCGGAAGTCGATGAGGAGATCCTGGATGGACTTGAAGTCGCGGCGGCGGCCAAGGAAAGCGATCATGTGAGAAAGGCTCTCGTCGGAGGGGGTGAAGGACCGGCGAGTGACGGCCCAGCGGAAGAGATCGACGGCCGTGCGGCCGGCGGGCGCGGAGATGTTCAGGATCTGCTGGAGGAGGGCCGTATTGAAGCGGACGTCGGAGAAATGGAGGGAGAGGTACTGCGGGACGTCGGTGTGGGGAGTGATCGACGATGCCTGAGCATGCTTGATGAGGGCAGATGAGATGGAGCGGGCCAGTTCGGAGGCCTCGTCGGCGGCCGCGGACGCGAAGATGGTGCGGGTGGCGGAGAAGGGGAGACGGGGTGGGCCTGGTGGTGACAGCGACGCAGGTTGCCGGATCAGAGAGGAGGAGAAGGGCTGTCGCGGTGTTGAGGAGGAGACGCAGCGGCGGAGGAGCTGCCGGAGATGGGGGCCAGCCATTCTGTCTGTCTGTCTCTCTCTCTCTCTCTCTCTCTCGTGAACTCTGTGAGCTTTTCTTTGATTATGCCGATGCCCTCCCTGGTGGCAGTGCCAGGGTTTTCGGAGTTCAAAACCCTACCGGCTGGCTCGTGTAAAAGGCAAAAGGTAGCCCATTAACCTAGCTTTCATGGGCTGGGCTCCAAAGTTGTCTGCTGGATTGATCCGTCATGGGATAGGCAGATAAAAGGTTAGAACCAGAGTAGAGAGAGAGAGAGAGAGAGAGAGAGAGAGAGAGAGAGAGAGAGAGACTCCCTCCCTCTCTCATGTCATGTCCTTTGTTCCTTCTGCCCAAGTGGAAGCACCCTTATCAGTATGACTCCAAGAAAAAATAAATGGTCATATCCTCACGGTTTAATGTGGATAAGATTTATAAATACCATGTGGAGTCACATGAAGGCACAAGGATGAGTTCCTTCTTAAATAAATTAGATTGATGTAGGCTTCATGAAGCTAGCAGTTCAAAAAAAAATCAATATTACAACATGAATTGGTATACTTTAAAAATAAAAAATAAAAAAAGAAATCTTTTTAAAATTGAGATAATTCTTTGGTTGTACGACTATCTTACGAAATTTTGATATCCCAATGTCTAGATATATCTTAAAGTATACCCTTATGAAAGTGAAGATTCTTTTCTTGCACTACTATTTTAGAAATTTTGAATATTGCAATGTCTCTCTAGTTATATTTGAAATTGTAGCTTTATAAAAAAAAATATTATCACGCCCTTATAAACTAGAGGATTTTTTCAAGGGTACCACTATTTTAGAAATTTCCAATATCATAACTTGTCTATAAGTTTTTTTAAAAATTTACCCTTTGTAAAACTGAGATTTTTTTCGTTTTATATAATATTTTAAATTAAAAAATTGAAAATTGAAGTTTTTTATTGTTGTTTAGGACATCATCTTGGTCTTTCAATTTTTCCTTCCATATGCCCATTGTTATACTAAAAATAGAAACTATCCAAAACTTAGACATGAAAAAATATAAGCTCATATCCTAACTTTCGAAAAAATTAACATTTAAAATTTATCTATACCTTTTTATGAATCATAGTTATATTTTGAGTATTTCTCTAATTATAGAAATTTTATTAAATTCGAATTTAAACCATGTAAAATAGAAAAAATGAATAAATATAGAAATATGTGATATTGCATTTTTTATATTATTTAGTGACTCATGTTGTTCTTTCAAAGATTCCTTTTGAGTAGACACATGTGACGTGACTTAATTATTGTATAATAAATCACGTAAAATTTAAATGTATAAAACTAAAAAATACCATTTTTTATTTTTTAGAAATATTTTATAAAAATGTATCAATTATAATTCGATAAAAGGTTCTAAAAACAATTAGGGTTTTCTAGATTGATCACAATGATTTAATATAATATCAAGTAAATTTCATAATTTGTTAGAAATAATATGATTTTCTATGTTTTTTAGACTAGATGTTTAAAAGAAAATCTATTTGAAATTCATGAAAAAGGAAAAATTTGAGTGTTGGCATCAGGATGACATAAGCACCCAAAAAACAATGATTTATGTGGAAATAGAGTTTTGCCCAATATTTATTATGTAAATGATTATAGACAATTCAATTTATGAAATTGAGATTTGTAAATATCAAAAGAATTGTAGTTGACTAAGAAGAGTTTTGAAACTTGAAATAAATTAAAATATTATTAATCTAAATATTAAACTAGTTAAAATATATAAGACAAAATTTTAACGTCACGACGGTGATGCATCAGAATTTTACACATTCTAGGTAATTATCATGCAATGTTTATGGCCTCAAAGGCTCTTCGTAGACATGAATGACATAGGCATTCTCTAGATCTTCTTTCGAAGTCTAAAAAATGATGATAGAAGTTAAACTAGTTAAAAATAGTAAAATAGAGTTCTAACATCGTGGTGACGATATATCAGAATCTTAAGCATTCAAAGGGACTATTATATAATGTTCATAGCCTTAAAGACTCTCTTTTGACATGAATGACGTAGATAATCTCTAAATCTTTTTTGTGAAATTTAGAAGTTGATGGGGTTGGTCGACAAATCATCTCTAGTGACTGTCACCTAATGAAGTGGAAATACAATGACTTGTAATTTTTCAACAACTGTCACTTGATAGAGATAAATTGAATAGAGGTGGGATATGTCTTAAGGAGCTTCATCCTTATATTTGTGAAGCATAAAGTTTTTCATTGCCTCTAATACACTCTCAAAAGATGACAACTTGTCTTTGGGTAGATCATTCTCTTCTTTATAATGACTTGTTCATTGATCAATGAGAGATAATTTACTTGATAGACTTATGATTTTTTTATCCATAATTATTTAAAAATTTAATAATGATGCTCTACGAATTGTATTGACAACATTTTTGTGATTGAGTAATTCTAACGACTTAATCATTGATTAGCACTCTATAAGAAAATTATGATTTAATTAGATAAAAATATTAATTTTGGCTCTAGTGGGATTTAAACCTTTGTTAGTCGCCTACCTATATGAGAGAGAGTGAAATAAGTATGTGAATATTCTTATAAAATGACATTATAAGGATATTTTTTTCTCATAAATAAGGGGTATTTTAGGTATTAAAATTATTAAAAACCTTCTGAGAAGTGAGACTAATTTAGTCTCACATTACTTTATTTTTGATTTTTGAGATGCATATATAGTAATATAAGATTATGTCATTAATAAGTCTCTTTGTCATATGTATATGATCACTCTTTGCCTTATACCTCACTGACCACTGATGATGTGAAAGGGAAGAGAGACACATATGTCTCCTATCAGTTCTTAGTCACTTCAACCTATTGCTCATGGTTCTACTCAATTGTGCTTCAAACTCACTTGTAGGCGACACTAGCTAATGGGCCCCCTTTTTTTCTATATTTTATTTTATTTATTTCTCTTTATTTACCTCAAAAATAGGATTATAAAAACTATATAAATTCACATAAAATCACATAATTACGTAAAAATTCATATTAACTAACTAAAAATCACTTTCGATAATTTAATGTAAATATGTCTATTATCATGAGTTAAGATTTAAAATATATTATTAATTAATTATTAACTCATGATAATGAAGACTTATTAATATTCATGTACTAAAAATAAATGTTAGGTCTGAAACATAATTTAAACTCAAAAAATAGGAGTTTCTCTATAAAAAATTTAAAAGAAATATTTTACAATTTTTTTTCACTATTTGATGAATCACTTTTACCTTTCTAATATCTTTCAAACATGATAAATTCAATAAAATGTCATAAGTTCATAACAATGTTAGATTTAGAATATTTTTGCACCATTTAGTGCATCATGTAGCTTTAGAGTATATCCAACCCTATATTAGAAATACCAAACTTGGAATAAAACTTAATTTAAAATTAAAATTTTGAGTTAATTAATATATTGATATTTACAGTATATCAAATCATGTTCATTTTTCAAAGATATTTCTAAATTATAGAAATTATCCTAAACTTTTGAATCTGAAACTAATAAATCTAAACAATTTAAAACATGAGATGTTGAATTTTTTTCCATTGCTTAATCCATAATGAATCCCTTTCAAGTTTTTATTGTATTTAGAGTTAAACAAATCAAAACTAAAATAATGTGAATTAATATTTTAAAAAATTGAAAAAAAATATTATTTAATTTTTTTTGGGGTATTACATGAATAATGTTCAACTTAAAGTATCTTTTGAACTAAGCATAATTTTTCTCTAAGTTCGTATTTAAAGCTCAAAAATGTAAAAACTATCATAAATTTGGAACATTTTGAGATTTCAAGATTTTTGCACTCAATTTAGTGCTTCTTGAGGGCCTTTCAAATGCTTTCTAGTAGTAGAAGTAAAATTTTAGGCCTAAAATTTAATTAAACCAGAAGAAAGTATTTAGAATTGTTTGCACCACTTCATGAATCATGTCATTCTTTTAGTATATTTTTAATTTAGATAAACTATGCTTGAAAGTCAAATTTGAATGTCATAAAATCTAAAAACTTGTATAAATTCATAAGATTAGAATTTTAAAAAAATCGTGCAACAAAAGATGATGGCCTATCAATCTTTTGTTAATTGTGATAATCCTTAAGCTAGAATTAGAATCATTTATCAAAAATGAATTTTAAAATAAAGAAATTGTGTTAATGACATAACTTTTGAAATAAATAAATGTCTACCATTTTTTTTGTCTCATTTCATGAATTATTTTCATCTTCTAACATCTTTCAAACTTAGATATATTTTCGTATAACTTTAAACCTTTTAAAATAGAAAAAAATTCTTGGAACCATTTAGGACTTTGAATTCATTTATGCTGTTTAGGACATATTATTAGTCTTTCAAATTTCCTTTTTGAATTTAGGACAAATTTAAACTTCACAACATATAAGGTAAATTAATATTTTACAGTATTTTTGTATCATTTGATGAATCATATAATCTTTCAAGAATCATTAAAATTTACAATTTTTTTTCAGAATTTAAATTTTGTGAAATGTTTTAAAAAATAAAAAGTTAGGTTGGAGAATTATGTTGCATCAATTTGTTAATCATGTTGGCCTCCTTCCTTCTAGTTCTTGTCTTTTGATCTGATTCACAATCTAAAGAGAAAGAGGTCCCATAATCAGTTAATAAAAAATTCCCTCACCACAAAAATAGAAGCCATTGAGTCACAAAGTGGCAGAGGACATAAGCCATAGAGCAGACATGACCAGTTTCTGAGCTTTCATAAATGCAACATTTTGATCAATAAAGTTTTGGATAGTTCCATGTTTGTCAATGATAAAATGCAAAAGGAATTCATGGAGTGAACAATAACTAAAATGCTTTTCCTTTGAAGTTGGTTTTCAACAATACCCAATGTTTCGATGCTCCAATGATAACCTAATCATTGGATCCAATTCTCCATTGGGGCAATGTCAACCCCATTTGCTAAAGGTTATACCATGATCAAGCCAACTATGTCAGGCATCAATGTTGGGTTTGAAGTATTAAAAAAAAATTATGATCTAAAAGGTTATTACATTAAATTCACAAAATACATAATCATTTAAATAATGACGTAAAGCTGATATTGAAACTATTCGTTAAAGAGTCAAACAGGAAATGTGCAGAATGTTTCTCATTACATTCATCAGTTTTGATTTAATATGACTAGTGTGCTAAGTCTAATTGAATTAAGATATATTGTTAACTTCCCATAATTTCATATAGTAAAATAATTTCTCCATGGCAGGATTTAGATTGCAAACACTAGCTTGCAATATTTGTTGGAAAGCTGAAATGAGGAGGAAATCGACATATCAATAAAATCGTAGAAATATCAACGTTCTGGTTTAATAAGGATTTTACAAAACCTGCAGATATATTTTTCACATGTGTTTTCAAGTGCACCCCATTAGAATGAAATTCTTCTTCAGCTTGATTCACTTTAGCTATGAGTATTAATCAAGAAGTATAGAGTGAAGTTACTAATCACATGGTTTGTTCAATATGACTCAAACATGGTCTATCTCTCCTGTCCTGAAATCAACTTCCTTTCATTAATGGTTTTAATTTCATCCCAAAAGGTTTTCATTTAAATTTTTCTTTGTGGGTGAAAATTTAACTAAGCCTTATTAGACATTCTAGTAGGCTTTATCTCACATACTGTTATACATTATTGTTCTTGTGGGTGAAGATCCAAAAATATTGGGAAAATGTTAAAATAAGAAAAATCTAATTAATCTCCTTTTTATTTGATAGATACAGCACCCTACCCTAGACACTGTGACACTAGATTGACTTTCTATTCTCATTATAAATGGAATGACGCAAAACTTTTGTTGGTCAACAAATTATTCATCTTTTCTTTAAATTTATAATTTGTATATAATTTTTTATGGGTTGTTACATGAGTAAACACATTTTCTCTCTCCTATCTTTTTTCTTTTAAACCCGTCCTTTCACTTTGATTTTGGGGAGGGATTGAGGGAAGGGAGGCAGAAGAGAGAGAAAGGAGACGGCCAGGCACACACGCAGCAAAGGATCTTCACGTGGCAATGACGACTATATCATTAGCATATGCTTTTCCACCATCGTTACGGCTAATATATTACTTCTTTCTAAAAATTTGAACGACACGTCCGTCCGTCATGAACGTTCTGAGCTTTATTGGGCAGATCACAATACACAGTACGCGAGTGTACTACCGATCGATATACACGAGAGGTTGATCATCTCACAACAGGCAAACCAGGCACCAAACACCCTTCTCTCCCTTTGATTCCCCTCCCTTGATCATCCATCTGCATCTTCCTCATGTGTCTGCAACACGGGGATTCTCTCTCTCTCCCTCTCCCCTCTCTCTATTTCGAGAGACACCAGAAATCTGGATTAGCCGGATGGGTCACAAGGAGTTATTCAAAGAGACGAGAATCTCCTCCGGGGGGATGAAATAGTCCCCGGAGAGGCCGGGGACGTCGAAGGCCACGTCATCAATCCTCCACAATTCCTCCATCCGCGTGCGGGTGTGGCGCGAGGCCCCCTCGCCGAAGCGGAAGATGGTAGCCACCGAGCGGCCACGGTGCGCCACCAGCACGCCGTCGACCTCTCTGTAGTCGTCGATGGTGCTCTCGATGGTCGTCTCCCAGTAGAGGGGGGCGTCCCTATCGGTCGTCTTCACCCGCGCGAGATGCGAGTCCTCCATGCAGACGAGGAGGCCGCTCTTCTGGCTGAAGTAGCCGTAGAGGACGTGCCGGATCACCTCCGCCGGCCCCTCGCTCCGCCTCGCCACCGCCGCGGGGTCCGCAGCCGCCTTCAGCACGAAGCAGTCGTCGCCGCCCCTCCGCTTCTCGCCGACGCACTGCGCCTCCACGAACATGCCGGCCGTGCTCTTGGGATCCAAGCCCTGCGCGGAAAGAAAAGCAAAAGCAAAGTATTCATCTTGCTTTCGGAAGGAAAGATATATTGATAGCATCATCCATCCGTTCGTCGGTCAAGGCCAGGAAAAAGCTGGAGATCATATATATACTAAGATTCTGGAACTGCGTTGCCCTGTTCCCAGTCTATGAAGACCGTCTGTCTGACCGAATCACAAGATTCCTGAATCAATCTAGACCACTTCATTCCTCACCCTGAAGGCCGCCTGCTCTGCTCAACAGCGGTGAGCTTCCCCAGAAAAATGCCTCGTTAATGGAGGGGATGTTTGACCGCTGGTCTAGCGTTTCTCTTTACCTGAATGATGCGGCGGAGGGGCCGGAGAGGGCCCCTTGCGGCGTGGGAGCCGAGCCAGGGCAAGTGGCGCCAGACGATCTTGCCGTTGCTCCCGGCGACGACCTTGCAGCCGGCGACGACCAGCTCCACCGACCACATCGCTGGCGACATCTGCCACAGAACGAAGCACCCACCGCCCTCCCCAGCCAGCCGCGCTGGCGCGTTCCTCGCGTGCATACGGCGGGAGCTCGTCTCCATCTCCCAGCAGGACATCTTCACGGTGCCTGCTGTGTACACATTCTTCGGGCTCCTCCGCAGCTTCAGGCAACCCGTCGCTGCCAGATACTGCTGTATGATGTAGCCTGCTGAAGAGACCTCCTGACAAGAAATTATTCACAGTTGGAGCGAGAATATTGCCTACCCTTGTCATGCATCAGTGAAAGAAAGTGGAAGACGAAGGGCTACAGGAAGGTAAGATACCAGTGAGGTCCCTTCGAGGGAGAGATGACGATGTACTGGTTCCTCAGGTAACGGAATCGGAGCGAGGGGGCAGCCGAGGACGCCGAGGGTAAGCTGTAGATCCACCTTCTTGGAAGAGCTGGTGCTGCAAGACGCGGGGAAACGGCCGCTGAATGGTGCTGTGCCGCTTCTATCCATGTGCGTCCGCACCCAAGCTCGGATTGAATCCCACGAGCTCTCCTTCTTCCCACATTCTCCTTGCTCCTCTGGATCGGGCCCTTCCATGAGGGGCGTCAGCTGCTGCACGCACCCTCTGTAGCTCCTGCTCCTCCCCCTGAGACCCATCGACTTCCTGGTCCCGACGAGACCTTATGAACCCCACAGTCAACGACTGCAGCAGTGAAAATATAAGGGTGAGGAGACAGAGGACGGCAGACTGTTATATGATGACGACGAAGATGAGAACGAACGGGGAGAGGAACCGAAGCAGAAAAAGGAAATATAATGAATCTACACCGCACCGCATTAGAGAGGGAACAGACTGACTGAGGAGGAGGGAGAGAGAGAGAGAGAGGATTGTTGGATCTGGTGTCTTCTGTGCATGTGGCATCATCTTCTGTGCGGTCGGGAGGAGTAACGGAAATGTTTTTTTAATTATCTGGAATGGCAGGAGACAAAAGGGAAAGCCCATCTGGCCACGGCAGAGAGAGAGGTAGGGAGGAAAAGGTGGGGAGACTCAACAGGAGCCTCGTATGCTGGTGATGTAGGTTCTCGGGCTTTGCCACCGCTTGCGTTCTCATCTCATCCGCCTTTTGCTTTAACCCCTTACCGCCCTGCCGCCGTCTTTGGGGAACCCGTCCCTCCTCTTCCCGTACCCGTGCTCCTTGTTACTGGATCAATCATGGAGGAATGCACAGCGAACCAACGCGGCTGGATGCTCCACCGTGGTGAGAAGAGATTCCATGAAAGGCATCGTCGAGGTTTCCAATGTGCCCTCGGCCTCCCTGGTGGGACAGCAGCGTCGAAAATCGTTCAGAAGTAAAGGCACCCGGGGAAGATGGCGCGTCCCCCTCGCCGGAAGGTAGCCGATGACAATTTTGTGCGGGTGGAGCGGATGAGGGTGACCATCCTGTAAGGTACGGTGCCTTGCAATGAGGTTCTGGAAGGCAAATATTTGATGTCCAACAGGAACTAGGGGCCCCATTGACAGACGGTCCTTGAAAGAAAAGTCTCATCGAACATGGCCTACAGTTTCATCACATGAAATTCTTGAAACACTTCGCAAGGCCCCTTCTCGGTCTATTATCTCTCTCTCTTTCTCTCTCTAACAAGATGGAGGGTCAGTCCCCTGTTATGGGTATTACCACTCGCTTTCTCTCTTTGTAACATGATAAAAGGTTAGTCCATGTTATGGGTATCTGCCTCTCTCCCTCTCTATCTATCTCTCTCTCTCGCTAGGCCTAGACAAAATGATGCTCGAGCCCAGTTCCGCCTCGACCCCACATTCACACAGGTACCCGTTGATCGGGTGAGAGATCGAGGACGGAGAAGATATGTCTCTGCCACATAAGTACTCATGTGACAACTGCATGACAAAAAAACAATGAACTTCGGAGTCGGACCCTATGACAGCCTGACCGCAGGCAGACCCGAATAGTGGCTGGACTGAATGGATTGGGTCTACCGTCCTTCAGGATTGACTACTACACCCGACCAGGAGTCGGATATGGCTCCTGGTTGACCGGTACATTGGCACTACTGCAAAAACCCATATTAACTTTTTTTTCACGGTAATATAATCAGCCTTTTAAAAAGTTTATGGAGTCGTTTATAGCCTGGATCAGATTTCCTACTGAAAGCTAGATAGGTAAAAGATTATTTAAACCTTGATTAAAAGGTGTATCCTCTAACAGATCAATATTGACAACTGAGATGCTCCTACTAGACCTAGATTTTACCTCAAATCCTGCTCATCGAACTCCCCTGGGATCTTTAACACAGCCGACCAGTAGTCAGCGATCTGATGGGCTCGCACTACGTCTCTCATCCTTCTCACGAGATTACCACACTCGAGGTCACCCATGGCGGTATGAAGAAGACGAAGAGAGTCCAACCTTCCCTCTCTCTCTCTCTCTCTCTCTCTCTCTCTCTCTCTCTCTCTCTCTCTCTCTCTCGCGCTACGTCTCTCATCCTTCTCACGAGATTACCACACTCGAGGTCACCCATGACGGTATGAAGAAGACGAAGAGAGTCCAACCTTCCCTCTCTCTCTCTCTCTCTCTCTCTCTCTCTCTCTCTCTCTCTCTCTGTCTCTCCCTCCCTCTCTCTCTTCCTCTCCCTCTCTCTCTCTCCCCCCTCTCTCTCTCTCTTCCTCTCCCTCCTCTCCCTCTCTCCCTCCTCTCCCTCTCTCTCTCTCTCCCTCCTCTCTCTCTCTCTCTCTCTCTCTCTCTCCTCTCTCTCTCCTCTCTCTCCCTCTCTCTCTCTCTCCTCTCCTCTCTCTCTCTCCCCTCCCTCTCTCTCTCTCTCTCTCTCTCTCTCTCCCCTCTCCCTCTCTCCTCTCTCCTCTCTCTCTCTCTCTCCCTCTCTCTCTCTCTCTCTCTCTCTCTCTCTCTCTCTCTCCTCTCTCCCTCTCTCTCTCTCTCTCTCTCTCTCTCTCTCCCTCTCTCTCTCCCTCTCTCTCTCCCTCTCTCTCTCCCTCTCTCTCTCCCTCTCTCTCTCTCTCTCATATGTACGACCCGATTGTCCTCTTTTGCTTTTCCAATCTGTGTAGTTAATTTTGTCCCTTGGATGGCTAAGCATGGTGAATACTGGTTATTGGATTCCTCAACTTGGTCGGTTCATTCTTCCCTTTTCTCCATCGTGTTATGTTACTTGCTAAGCATGGTGAGATATCTAATGTACTCCCTTAATTTTATTGATCTATTCATAAACTATAAGCCAAGGGATAATTTTGCCAAGCTCTTGAACAAGCTGGCGCATCAAGTCCAAGTGATTACCTGGCCTATGTGTTATGCCCCTAGCCCAGCCGATCTAGGACCATGGGTGGAACCGCACTACCAGCAAGGGGCTGAGCAGTGATCTGTGCCAGCATGCATGGCACCCGCTACAAGGTCGCTGCAGCTGAACGTGGCACAACTCACATTGAAGAGCATCGTGTGTGTGAAGGCGCAGTGGCCTGGCAGATGTGCGTAGCAGGCGTCGGCATGGCAGGCCACGTGCAAGCAACCGGCGACTCGCACGTGGGTGTGCTCGACTTGGGTGGCCGTAGACAGAACAAGGATCAATAAGTTGCTCCTGTACCTTGTGAAGCACATGCAGACAGTCGTTGTGCTGGCATGACGCAACAAAGTGTAGCACGGCACCAACATATCATGATAGGTGTAGAGGTCCATAGCGAGCATACATTCATGCGGAGTTCAAGCAGAAAAACTTTACATACATGAAATAGGTTCAAGTGAGTATCCTACAAACCTTCAAAGAGATTGACGTGACGTAGCATAATAATGACATGACTTTAGCATGATGTGGAACACATTGCTGGGGTATTAATTAAATAATATTTCAATGATGAAAAATACCCATAAGATCAATAAATGAATAAAATTATGGTGGTTACTCATTACACGAGTTATGAATAAATATTATTTTAGATGACGATAAATTTAATTACATATAAATTCATAAAAAATCAAAGTGATAATGTTAAATATCTAAATAGGAATTTAAGAAATATATTTGAATCTCATGATGTTGAATTTAAAGTTTAATATATTTTATTACTTAAATGATTACTTTGATTATTATTGTGAGAAGTAATAATATTTATAGAAATTATCTCTAAAAAAATTAATGACTAATTCATTAGAATCAATGTAACTATTAAGATAAATATGAGTATGAAAGTTTACTCAATTTACTAGATGCTCACAATGCAACTTCATTGTTTCTAGTTATTCTTGATATTGAATTAGTCAATTGAATCTAGAGTGTTTACTCAACAACTCATAATTTTCAAAATATTGATAGATAATAATTAAAAATAATTTAAATTATCTTATTTCATTGAAATTATTATTTTAAATATTGAGATAATAATTTAGTACGTTGATTTATTATTTTCCACTTATTTGAGGTAATTAAGTTAAGTTTTGAATAAAAAGTCATTATTTTATTTTGAGATGTATTGATGATTATGTTTCAATGACAGTAGATTCTTACCAAATCTATTCAAATCAATAAAATTTTGATTTATACATTAGTGATTAATGATCATATGTATTAATTTTTAAACCCTTAAAGGTTATCTCTTAGTGGTTTTTGATCATTTGAGTTTCTAATTAATTTTGAGATTTTTAATGTTCAGAAATGAAAGAACATAAAGGGGGCTTCAAATCAAATTTCTTTATAGATTCAACATAATTTTAATGATGATCAGTTTTGAATGATCACTATGACCTCTCTAGCATCTCAACTCTCTTACTAATATTTTCTACAAGGAAATATAGGCAAATTTTATTGGTCTTTGAAGCTTGGTCAAACAACAAGAAGACAGAGTTGACGAGGAGAGTTCAATTGATTCAAGTTCTTTCTCTATCTAAGTGAAGTGTCAGTATTTTCTAGAATAAAAAAAAAATATAATGTAAAAAACATAAAAAACATTAAATCCAATATACTATCCTCTTCATTGAATTTATTTCTAATTTAATCACTGAAGAGAGTTAATCTTTGTAATGAGTGGTGACCCTCTTAGAGGTGTGAATCTAGAAGAAAATTTCAAAATGAAATTATATGAGTACTAAGCATTGTGATTTATTTAATAAAACATAAGAACATGATCTTCTTAAAAAGTAGATGTAGATATGATGTCAAACCATTGTAAAAAATAATTTGAGTAATTTATACTTAGATCTAATAAGACAACAAGATTTAAGATCGGAGAATTTAGAAGTAGTTGATTAAAGTCAAAATCATAATCTAATTATTCCAACTCCCCTTTTGATCTAAATAAGACCTCAAATCTAGCACATGTGACGAACAACAAGTAGATAAAACTGTGCATGACCAAATAACACAACATAATGGGTCAATGAAAAGTACAATCAATTATGTAACTACAATGCGCATAGTGCAAAGTGGGGGCTAATACTTTGGCTTCTCCCCCAAACATTGTGCATGCCACACACTATTTGTTACACACCCTCCTCCCATAATTACCATCAGTTCATGGCACATGATTAAAGTGTGTGATGTGTGGCTCTATAGGTTAAAATAGGGACAAGAACCAATATACTAATCTCATTGGGTGCATGATGTGAATTAATCTTTCTATAATAAATCACACAAATGTAAATTTTATAAAACTAGAAAATACCATTTTTTAGATTTTTTGAAATATTTGAGAATAAATAAATAAATTATAATTACATAAGAGATTCCAAAAATAGTTTAAAATTTCTAGGTCAATCACAGGGATGTAAGATAATATTTTATAATATTTTAATTTTTTTTACAAAGAATATAAACTTTTATAATTTTTGGACTAAATAATAAATATATCATATATTTAAAAAATCTCAAAAAAAGAAATAAGGACGCAGGCGTCAAGATGATGTTAGCTGCCCAACGAGCATGAATCGAATGAAAATAAAATTCCATCTACTAATTCTTACATAAGTGATTATAGACAATTTAATTAATCAAATTAAGATCTGTAAAAGCCAAAAGAATTGTATTTGACTGAAGAAGGTTTTCGAAACTTAAAATCACATAAAATATTGCTAGATTAAGCAAAGATTAAGTTGAAAGTAGAAAAAGCATAGTTCTAACCTCGTGATAATAATCACTAGAATTCTATATTCAGGGGGATTATCAAATGATGTCTATGGCCTTAAAAGCTCTCTTTGGACAAAGAAGATGTGGATAATTTTTAGATCTTTTTGAAAAGTATAGAAATCAATAAAGTTGGTCATCAAATCGTCTCCAGTGGCTATCACTCAATAGAGTGGAAAAATGACAACTTTGTGGATCTCTATCAGTTGTCATCCAACGGAGATAAATTAGATGGAGGTAGGGCACGTCTTAAGGAGTTTCATCCTTAGATCTCTATAGTAAGAGAAGGCTTTTCATCGCATCTAGTATGCCTTAAAAGATGATGACTCGTCTCTTAGTGGATCGTCCTCTTTTTGGCAACAACTTATTCGTTAATTAATTGGAGATAATTTACTTGATAGATTCACGATCTTTTCATCTAGAATCATTTAGAAATTTAGTAACAATCTTTCACGAATCGCGTTGATAACATCTTCGTCGATAATTGAGTGATTCTAGCAGCTTCCAAATCTCTAGTGACTCTATAGAAAAATCACGATTTAATTAGATAAAAATATGAATTTTGGCTTTGGTGAGATTTGAACCCTCGCCGATCACTTGTCTGCATGAGAGAGAGTGAAATAAGTACACAAATACCCTTATAAAGTGACGTTATAAGGGTATATCCTTTTGATTATCAAGGGGTATTTTAGATATTAAAATCATTGAAAAGCTCCCTTTTTAGTCCCACATTAGTTATTTTTTGAGTTTTGAGGTGTATATATAATAATAGAAAATCCTATGATCAATAAGCCCCTCTCTCGCATGTGTACGACCACTCTTTGTCCCATACCTAGCTGGCCACTAGTGACATGGAAGAGGAGTGACGCACACGTGCCCCCTCCACCTATCCTTAGTTAGTCTATCCCCTTCTACTCGTCGCTCACCAGATTGTACTTCTGACCCATTTGCGGGCCCCTATTGGCTGACAGGTCGTACCCTCTTTTTTTTATATTTTTATTTTATTTTTCTTTCTCTTCATTTATCTAAAGAGTATGATTATAAAAATTATATAAATTCACATAAAATTACATAATTAGCCAAGAATTCACATTAATCAACTAAAAACCACTTTTATCATTTAACACAAATATAAGTATTTATCATGAGTTAAGGTTTAAAATATATTATTAATTAATTATTAACTCATGATAATGAAGAGTTAATAGTGCCCAAATGTCAATATTTCATCTAAGGCAATTGTCCATCTATTTATGATTAGTTAAGGTTTTTAGTTGGTTAATTTGAATTCTTGGCTAATTATATGATTTTATGTAAATTTATATAATTTTTATAATCATATTATTTAGATAAATGAAGAGAGAGAAAATAAAATAGAAATATACAAAAAATAGGGTATGACTCGCCGGCCAATGAGGGCCCACAAGCAGGTTGGAAGCACAATCGGGTGAGCAATGAGTAAGAAGGGATAGATTGACCAAGGATAGGTGGAGGAGGCATGTGTGCGTCACTCTCCTTCCAATGTCACTAGTGGCCAGTCGAGCGTGGGGCAAATAGTGGTCATACACACACAAGAGAGGGGCTTATTAATCACAAGATTTTCTGTTATTATATATACGCCTCAAAACTTGGTGATGCAGCCCAAACCTTGAGGCCCACTACTGAAGAAGCTTGAAGCTCAGTATTGATGCACCTTGGAGCCATTACTATTGCAACTTGAAGTCTACTTTACTTGATACACACTGGAGCCCATTACTATTACAATTTGAAGTCCACTTTACTAGCCCAATTACAAAATTAGGCCCATTGAAATTCAAATTTTTATTTGAAATTTAAATTTCATCTAAAATTCAAATTTTCGTTTGAATTCAAATTTCATCTGAATTCAAATTTTCGTTTGAATTCAAATTTCATCTGAATTCAAATTTTCATTTGAATTCAAATTTCATCTGAATTCAATTTTTTTTTATTTGAAATTCAAATTTCATCTGAAATTCAAATTTCAACCAAAAATTGATTTCAAATTTAGATTTCATTTGAAATTCAAATCTTGGCGCCCAAATCAAGATGCTTTAGCCTATTTAAAGGCACCCCTTGTAGCCCTAGAGGCACATTAACTTTTTTTTCAATACAATTTCATGACTTTTCTTCTCTTGATGTTCTCTCCTTCTATTAGTGGACTCCAGCACCCTTGTGGACTAAGAGAACTTGTTCTTCATTTTGTGGATTCATAATCACCCCCTTGTAGAGTTAAGGACCTATTCTCTTCACCTTGTGGATTCAGACTGAAAGGACAACTATTAGAGCATGTCTTTTGAGGATTCAAGACATGTCTTCAATGTCCACAACATCAAAGTTGATCACAACTCGTTCAAGTCATTGCCTCCTCAAGTTTCGTTGTGTCACTTAGAAAATAACCAATATGGGATTAAAGAGGGAGCCTTTCAATGATCTTAATACCCACAATACCCTTTGATAATGAGAAAGATATACCCTTATGATGTCATTTTATAAGGGTATTTGTGTACTTATTTCACTCTCTCTCATGTAGACGGGCGACTAGTAAGGATTTGAATCCAAACAGAACCAAAACTCATAATATTATCTGATTAAATCTTGATTTTCTTATAGATTACCAGTGAACGATTAAACCGTCAGAATCACTCAAACATTAGCAAAAATATCGTCAATGCAATTTGCAAAGCATCGTTATTAATTGTTGAATAATCACAAATCTATCGAGTAAATTATCTCCGATTGATCGACGAACAAGTCGTCATTAGAAAGAGGACAATCCGTTGAGAGACAAGTCACCACCTATTAAGAACATACCAGATGCAATGAAGAGCCTTCTCTTATTACACAAACATCAGAATGAAGCTCTTTAAGATGCGCCTTACTTTCATCTAGTTTTTACTATTCTACTAGGTGACAATTGCCAGAGATGATTCAACGATCAGTTTCATTAATTTCTAGACTTTCTCAGAAGATCTAAAGATTATTCACGTCTTTTTTATTCAAGAAGAGTATTTGAAGCCATAGACATTGCACAATAATCTTTCTGAATATACAGAATTTTGGCAATTATTGTCGTAAGGCTAAAATTCTACCATTTTTACTTTTAACTTATTTTTTGTATCTTGTGTGATTTTAAGTTTCAAAAACTTTTTTCAGTCTAATATAATTCTTATAGCTTTATAAATCTTAATTTGATCAATTAAATCTTCTATAATAGCTTACATAAGAATCAACAGGCAGAACTCTATTTCTGTTCAATTCACATTCATCGGGCAGCTGACGTCATTTTGACGTCTGCACCCTTATTCCTCTTTTTTGAAAATTTTTAAATATATTTTATATTTATTATTTTGTCTAAAAATGATAAAAAATCATATTCTTTCAGTAAAATTTTAAGATATTAAAAAATATTATCTTACATGCCTATGATCGACCTGAAAATTCTCTACTATTTTTGGAATGTCTTATCTAATTATAGTTTATTTATTGTTCTCATATATTTCTAAAAATCTAAAAAATAGTATTTTTTAGTTTTATAAATTTTAAATTTGCATGATTTATTATCAAATGATTAATTCACATCAGTGCTCGACGTTTGCTGTGGGATCATCATTTCTAAGGTAAACTAATAGTTGATGCCATCTTTCTTCATTAGTACCAAGATCAAGAATTACAAGTCATTTTTATATCAAATATAATGAATATTTTTGTGGTATTAATAAAGAAGACTCATATTATTTGATAATATAGAAAAATATATGAGAACCCTCGATTACAAAATAAATGAAAGGGTAGGCAATGTATCATTCATTCACTTAAGCACTTTGTACATCTCCTCTCATAAGCACCTCGTTGCGTTATTTATCTCATCCGTATTGTTGTATTCAGGAGGACATGAATCAAATTATTTACATGGATGGATAAATAGATAACTATTTTTAAACTCGATTCTGAGAACCGTCGGTGTGGAGTTGGATCCATACCGACGGCTGCCGTCCATTCCCTGGCGAAGGACTCCCGTTACCCTTTTCAGATGCTAAAACCCTAGCATCTTCGCCGTCGGGAACTCTGCCCGCCCCGACGCCCTCATCCCTCGTCCCTCTCTCATCGGTATCACCACGTCATCGTCTTCTCCTGTCTCAGACGCGTGACACCGTCGTCAACATTCGGTTTTGCCGTCGGTTCCCATGCTTCGGACACCAGCCGCTGCGATCCTTAATGTCACCGGCAGTCTCTCAGCAACTCCTCGTGCTGGTAATCTCTCTCGCTCTCTCTCTCTCTCCCCTTCTCCCTTTTCCTCCCTTGGTCCCCTTTTCGCCGGCGAGCCCCCCCCCCCCCCCGTGCGTATCTACGAGAAATCGAAATAATTTCTTATACATGTTTATTTTTGTGACGAACCGACTTTATTTGTTTGCTCTGGAAAGCCAGCCCGTCTTTGGTGATTTCCTACGATATTTATGTGCCCTCGTCTTTGGTGTGTCAGAACTGCATGCAGTTGGAAAACCGTGGAAGATTTCTGATGCAAGGCTGGCACTCGAGGATGGTTCCATATGGAGGGCCAAGTCTTTCGGTGCCCTGGGAACACAAGTTGGTGAAGTAGTGTTCAATACATCCTTAACTGGGTAATTTCCATGGCTCAACCTTTTCTGCTTCTGTTGGAAACTGCTAATTGGTAATGCTGTGAATGCCTGAACAACATTCCGATGTGAGATACGTATTACTGCGAAAACTTTCGCCGGGGATTCTTCCGAAGCAGACTTTTATATTTATTTGAACTAATAGACAGCATTATGTTTTTATTTACCCGTGAAGAGGTAGACCTATGTTGTATACGCCCTCCCTGTGGTCTTCAGAACTTTTAAAATTTAGTGAAAGGTATTGGAGAAAGAGTTCATCAATTGTGTAAAGAGTAGAGTACGCATTGACCATTTGGTGATTGCTGTTCGTGAAATCTTGCATCTTTGCCGTCTTTAGACGCCACTCTACATGTTTATCAATGTTTGTAAAATTATCCCATATTTTTTGGGTCCGATTTTCTGATACTTGTTGAAAGGTTTCATGACTTGTAGTCCCATAACTTTGTCTCATTTCTCTTTTAAATTATGATGACAGGTACCAGGAAATTCTCACAGATCCAAGTTATGCAGGCCAGTTTGTCCTGATGACGAATCCTCATATTGGCAATACTGGTGTTAATCCTGGTGTGTTTTTATTCCTCATTTTGAATTTTCCAGCAAATGCTTTATAATCTAGATGTTAGTAAAACTTGTGTTTGGACCTTCTACAGGTGATGAAGAATCTAGGCAATGTTTCCTCACGGGTTTAGTAATCAGGAGCCTCAGTATTTGGTATTCTCATTTCTTATCATCTATCATTTTTCTCATTACAGCTGAAATGAGTTATGAAAAATAGTTTGACCAACCTGAAATTTCATAATCATCTGTGATCAGTACGTCAAACTGGCGGTGCACAGAATTACTTGGTGATTACTTGGCGAAAAGAAACATCATGGGAATATGTAGGTGCACTTGTTAAGTTCATGGATCTTTTTCCCTTTGTCTCGAGTTTCTGTCAGATATTTTATGTGATCTTATGAAACAGATGATGTCGATACTCGCGCCATCACTCGTAGATTAAGACAGGATGGTAGTTTAATAGGTGTTCTGAGCACCGAGGAATCCAAAACAGATGATATGCTTCTGGAGATGTCCCAGAAATGGAAAATCGTCGGTAAGTTTCAGTTTCACATTAATCATTTCGTTTTCTTCTTTCTCTAGTATGTAAATTTATTGTCTGCCAGTAAGTTGGAAGTCGGCTGTATTGATTTTATTCTATCTCCCCTATTCCTTCCAAAGTGAGTAAATCCAATTTGAGGCAATAAAAGATTCATCCTTTCCAACTTGGTATCTTTCTCCAATAAAGTTCAGCCAATTTCAAATGAAGATTTTAAATTTCGGGCCGGGGTATCCCCTAGGAGCTCTGCTGATCCTCGTCTGACCATTATTGCAGTTATGACACGACCGATTTCTACACTTATTTTTTGGTTTGTACTTTGATCCGTTGAAGGATTCATCTGAATGGATGAACACTGCTCCATTTATCAATTTGGTTACAGATGTCTCAGTCCACATTTTGAATGACGTGATTAAACTAAATGTAATGTAGTAGATATTTCCAATCTTCTCAAAGTGTATTCATTATATTTTATTGACGTTTTCAATCGAAATATAACCTAAAATTTGTACAGCCTTGGAAATTAACTTCTTGATGTAAACTTTTTTTGGTCTTAAAGTTGTCTAATGGATGAAAAATTGATATCATGATCATTATCTTGCTAATCATCAGGCGCTAATCTTCTGAAGTGTCCATTCGTCGAGTTATTTAAGCTTTACGCCTGAAACAGTTTATAGTTCTTGTAAACACTGCTGAAGTATAATGTCTTGAGGAATGCTGCTATTTTCCAATCATACACTTTCTACTCATTTTGTTGATCTGTTTGTCTTGAATGTGATTCCCATTGCTCTTCTAAACTTGGCATCTTTTTTGCATGTTACTATGGCTCATGTGCTTCCTTGAAAGAAGGGATTGATCTTCCCATGTCTCTGTAGGTGTTGATTTGATAACTGGCGTCTCTTGTGATAATCCATATGAATGGACAGAGAAAACTGATCCAGAGTGGGAATTCAATGAAGCCCAGAACCTGGCAGAGAAATTACATGTTAGCATAATTTAATCATATAGAAGATTACCTTAGAACATTCATTCAATTTCTTTTATTAACATTTTTTCTTATCTTTATAGGTCGTTGCATATGACTTTGGGATCAAATATAACATCCTGAGGAGACTGGCGTCTTCTGGGTGCAAAATTACTGTTGTGCCTTCGACTTGGCCTGCATCGGAAACTCTAAAGATCAACCCTGATGGAGTTCTTTTCAGCAATGGCCCAGGGGATCCAGCTGCAGTTCCTTATGCAGTACAAACGGTGAAGGAAATTATTGGAAAGGTTCCAGTTTTTGGAATCTGCATGGGTCATCAGTTGCTTGGCCAGGCTTTGGGTGGCAAGACTTTTAAGATGAAATTTGGTCACCATGGAGGAAACCATCCCGTCTGTAACCTTAAAACAGGTCGTGTGGAGATCAGTGCTCAGGTTTGACATATTTTACTCAGCAATAATTTATAAATTTTTGGAATCTCCATTGACACTATTAATTAATGTGGTCGTTTGATCTACACAATCTGCCCTATTTTTAACTGGCATCTGCTCTCTCGTTTTCAATTCAGCTATATCTTGTAAGATATGATAAGTCTTTGTGCTGTTCCCTTTTAAGAGTTATGTTCTAGTTGGATTCTATACTGTGAAAGATGGTTATCTAAACCTCATTGACGATTGTTTTCTTTACGTCATGTAGAACCACAACTATGCTGTCGATCCGGCATCACTCCCTGCTGGTGTGGAAGTTACTCACATTAACCTGAATGACAACAGTTGTGCTGGTCTTTCATGCCCTGAGCTAAAGTTGATGTCCTTGCAGTACCATCCTGAGGCATCCCCAGGGCCTCATGATTCAGATCCTGGTAATGTCTCGTCACATCTGGTGATAATCATTTCTACGAAAATAATTGTGAAAAATAATCGTGTTCATTTCTCGAGTCAAATGGTGTCTATGAACGCAAATGGAGAGAGACAAGATCCATTTCGATCACATATTTTAACCTTCTTGGGTTTTGACTTGAACTGGTTTGTGAGCAACAGGAAAATTTGACACATTATCATTGATTTATTTTTTTTCTAATGGGCAAAATGGAGTTAATATTTATCGAACATCTGGATGGTTATTTTTCTAATGGCATATTTCAACCTTCTGCCCTCTGTATTTATTCTTTCTTTTCTATTTTCTTTGATTGTGGGTGACTGTCACGATGGATTGGGTCTGACTCTGCCGTTAGAAGTTGTGATTACCGAATGCCGACTGCGCTCCTCTCTGAATTCTTGTTCATTTCAAGTCTGGAAGAGTCCCCTTTCTTTCAATTTATTAAAACATAAAAAATGTATCAAACTTGGGTAATCTTTTCTTTATATGGAAAGTTCGACAGTCTCTTACAGAACTTGCAATGATGCTCAAATGCATGAAACTATCCATCTGGGTCCTCACTTCTTCATAGTTTCACTTTTCCGTCTGTCTAGTGCTCTGCATAATCTGCTTCTACTGGCACCTCAAGAAGAAATTGCTAAATAATGTAATCTTCTTCGTTGCAGCTTTTGGAGGTTTCATTCAATTGATGAAGCTAGTTAAGCAGAAGAAGTAAATGGGATTACAGTCGATGCTTTGACAAACGCATGGGACTGAGTGGAATTTGTGACTTGCTCCATGGTTTCTACCAGGATGTGCCAGATTTTGTTGAGTTCGAGTGGATATGACGCAAAGATCTACATGTTCCACACTCACAGGGCTCTTCGAGTGGAGGTGTAGTGATTCATGGGCTCCTCCAATGGAGGAGATGTCAGCCCAACGCAAGCTTCATCTCCTTGCTTTGAATCATCCTCTAGATATGCCCATCAAAAGATTACATCTTCTATCCTCCTCTTGGTTCAAGAAGTGAACGGTCATCTATTTAGTTAGTTATATATCCTTGTAAAACCCTTCTATTATCAGTTAAGTTCTTGTCTTTTATACATCGCAATATCAGGACATATACCATCTTTTGCATTCTTTCAATCATAAGTTAACCATAGTTGAAAGGGGCTAATATTTTACCTACTACTGAAAAAAGATTACATCTTTGAACTATCCTCAGTCAGCCTCTTTCAATCCCCGCTCTCCCATTCCCATTTCTCGCCGTATATTCTCTCCCCTCTTCTCTCCCTCTCTTCCCATTTGTCTCTGTATCTCTCTCCTGACCCCTCCCTCCCATGAGCATCATCCTCTATCTCTCTCTCTCTCTCTTCCTCTAGAATAGCTATGCACCTCTCTCTAGACCCTCTCATTTCCCCATGTCTCTCTTAAGATGAAAGAAATTTATGTATATTTCTTTTGTAATATATTATCTCTTTCATCCCCGGTTGATGACTGAAGATCACAAGAGGTGATCCAAGGTTAGAGAGAGAGAGAGAGAGAGAGAGGGCTTCCCTGATATAAACTGTTGTCACAAGATTGTGCCTCAGTAAAGGAGATAAGATTACTGAGAAAGATGAAAAAGGTAATTAATCATCCAAAACATATAACTAGTTCAGAGAAATTCAATCTGATGCCCTGAAAAATTCCCAACTGAGATTCAAGACACAAGACTCTGCTTCCATCATCCGGGACAGCATGGAATCATTGATGGGGAGCTCCCCCACACCTTCTACTCGCTGGCGTCTGTACTGATGCCGAGCTTGGACACCCAGTAGCTGAGCTGCTCAGAGACGCATGCAGAACCCGTTGACCCATAGGAGCAAAACTTTGACACCGAGTTGTTGACTCCTACAAACTCGTAAACATCCTTCTCAAATACGGGATCGATGGCCGTCAACTCATCGAGACTAAGGTCTGAGAGTTGACAGTCTTTTGAGAGGCAGAAGGCAACACATCTTCCAACTATATCATGAGAGGTCCTAAAGGGCACGCCCTGCACAAAAACGTCAGAAGGTCAGCAAGCTGCCGTCCAGACAAACTGGTCAACGGCCATGAGAATCGAGGAACTGAATAAGAATGTGAGACTTTCTGCACCAAAAGTATTCTCTTAAAGGATCAGCCGCCTCATGAAAATCTTATATCCAAAAAAGCCCATGTACGAACAAGGATTGATCTTATCATTTCCTGCCTTTGTGTTTAAGACTATCTTATCATACAAGCTAGAAGAGAATTTTGTTTTGGTTTGCAATTTATGGGAAAAAAAAAGTCAACAGAGCACTTACCTTCTTAACAAGGTAATCGGCGAGGGTTGTTGCATCCAAATGCCCAGCTGGAAGAGCCCTTTGTATTCTTTCATGATTGAATGTGATATTCTGAGCGAACTCAGCAGTGACCTCGAGCATTCCCATAATGGTTTTGACACTATCAAATAATGGCTCCTTATCTTCCTGCTCCATGAAAAAAGATTCATCACCGAATGCCAGACAAAACAAAAGCAGAAAAATTCCTATTTATGGGCAATAAAAACATTTCAGAGATAGTGGGTACTAATCAGGATGGTTGACCTGAAGATCTCGATTGTATGCCTGGGGAAGGCCCTTGCAGAGGACCAAGACTGTGATCAGGTCCCCTACAACCCTTGCAGATTTACCACGAACAAGCTCCATTGGATCAGGGTTCTTTTTCTGAGGCATGATGGAGCTTCCAGTGGATACTGAGTCACTGGGTACCAAGAATCCAAACTCTTCTGATGCCCACAGGACCCACTCTTCACCAAGACGAGAAAGATGAATGGCAGCTATAGAACTAGCTGATAGAAACTCCAGGACAAAGTCACGGTCGGATACTGCATCAATGCTGTAACATCACAGCGTACTAATCAGGATGGAAAGGATATTAACTCTAGTAAATGCTTTACCAAGTGAAGAGAGATGAATGCCAAAATTCTGGCCAGGCAGTAAATCAAGGCGAAAAATGCAATATAAAAGCCAGGAACCACGGAAAATACAACACTACTAAAAGTAGCAACATTCTTCTCAAAGTGGATAATACTATCACAAATGCGTTAAATATAATATCTACTCTCATTACTCCTCTGCCAAGCACAGCTACAAGAGGTTCTCAGGGTAGGAAAAGAGGAAACCATTCACATGAGTAGCCTCTTGTATGAAATCATGATCCACATCAGAATCTTTAATTTCAATTGACAATTGGAACCCCACAAGAAAGGACTGAGCTTCCATCTGAAATGGAATAGTAGACACTGAATAACGAGTTTGGCATGACAATCCCAATTTTGGCGAACTGATCTTCCTCATTAATGGAAAACTTTCTTTTTTCTCTAACTTTTTCTGCTTCTATCTTCGCGATCCTGATGAGTACACATATCAAATGAATAGGCTAGATGGTGTAGCCACGCACTAAACAAGTATTCCCTTCATTTGAGAGGATATCTTTTGTCTACGAGTGCTCAGGAGACAAGACACATGGTGAGTTCCGAGAGAAGACATAAAGGAAGTAACTACACACCCTGAGATCAATAAAGCCCCCTCCATGTGTCTCAGATCTTCATGTTCAAATAAAGTAACATACTACTCCAGTGCCATGAAAAGAAGAGTATCTTTAATTCATAGAATGTGAGATAATGGCAAATCCTAACTCACCAACAATGAATGGCCAGATTTGCTGGAATCCGTAATGATGGATAGCATATGTAACGAAAAAATATGAATGGTCAGATTTGGTTCAGATGAAGGATACGTGCATTAGATATAATTAGAACTAGGGAACATGGTTTATTTTCAAAATATACCCATAAAAGTAAACTTTTTGTCTGAGTATATTGTGGTACCGCCCCATGCAAAATTAGACCTTTCGACATCCGGAGAGATGGTATTAAACATCATGGTTTCCGACAATGTGCAAAAAGCTGATGTCTGTAGGTTGTGGACTCTGCAGTGAATATGATGAACTATTTACACGGTTGTAACATTCATGATGTTTAAAACCAGGGATAATCAGAAATGACATTGTGCACCATTTACAAGTGAAAGATAACATCATTGAAGAATTCAGAAAACATCAAATCCCCCAAGTTGGATTCGAACCTATGACCAGATCAGACAGTGACGGTTGTAGTTAGGAGACAAATGTTCACCTAGTTCCACCCAAGCTTCATCCTGGTCATGGATAGATTACCCATGTTCAGGTTCATAAGCAGTGACAATCGCCCTGTGAAGAAGAAGCTACTATCTTTCTTAGGAGAGGTGAGGCTTCGCTGATTGAGAACACTCATGGCCTACTCCGCTTTTAAAATTATAACAAATAGTGGAGCGCCTTTGTTACCATTGAGTGCGGAATATCTATCCTTTCATATTTTCCCAAATCAAGACGGAAGGAAGACTACCAATACAATAGGAGTAGATGTCCTTAGAAGAAGCTGAGTTGATAAAACAAGAGAAAACGTTACCAGTCCAGCTGAATCTGAGAATTCTAGACTGAAAGACTATCCACTTGCTGACTAACCAACCCAAAGCCCACAAAGGAAAGTTCAAATCCCAAACTGTTTCCCTGTCCTACTTGCTTTCTGATCTACCATGGACAAACGGACGACTTTACGTGGTGAACTGCCCAAAGAGAGGAAAGAGCTTTTATCTTGTTTTCTTCCTCTGGGCTACTGGACACACATGCGCTAAGTGAATAACGAAATAAGCGTCTACTCATTTCATTGTTGGCAAGTAGATAGCTAAATTTAGCCTCGTGTCTCCCTCCGGGGTACCCACTCACCGAAATATGAGGCCAGGGGACTCACGTTTCACCCTTTGGAAATAAGAATAAAATGACAGGAGTGGCTCATAGTTTCAAAGGCAAAATGCATGGATGCGGGCTTAGATAATTTGTATTCATGAAAGAAACAGAGGAGATCCTTGCGATTATCCCATTTTCATACTTTCATGTCTTAACAACTGTATTCTGTTCTGTGGGAAAGAGCATATAATTAGGAGTTTGGTTCTCAGTTGGACCGTTTCCTAGTTGTTAGATAGTTTCTTTGTTTTGTGGCCTTGGTACCTGTACATAACAGTCATCTATGGTGTGAATACAAGTAAAGTTTTTCCTCACCATATCCTCTTAGGGTTTGCGCCACTGTTCACGATACGTTTACATTATGGAAAATATCTTTTTGTACATCGATTTTTTTTGTTAGACGATAGTTAAGTCCAGAGTAGGTAGCCTAAGATAAGTTGCTTAAGCTTAGATTATATTTGAAGTTCTCTGAAAAAAATTATGGACTAAAATCCCAATTCAATAACTCAAATTAATCCTCTGAACGAGAATGAAAAATAATCAGATAATTATTTCATACAATAGATTGACATCAGCCATCAATATCTTTCTCATTAAAGTACACCTAGGCCCAACATATAGTCCCATATGCAAAAAAAATATTAAACAATAACATAACAGATCACCTAAATTTCTTGTCTTGTTAACGTCAAACAGAGAGATTGTCTGAACCTAAGACCGAACAATCAATGTACAACAGAAACTGAACAAAATTCCTTAAACAGAAAACGATTCTCGGCAGCTTCTGTGGCACGCTTGAGAAGAAAAATTCCTTAAACAACAGGATGCTATTTCAGTTAACAACATTGATCAGTGTGCCGCATCTCAATAAGAATTATCAACTCTGAATTCTACTTCACGGGATGGCGCTTAAACCTGATACTCTGAAACAGTGTATCTTAGAAATAAATAAATAACATAAGCACAAAGAGACAAGATTTATTGCAAGGAAAAATCCCAGACATTCATAGCTAACCAAACTAGTCAAAGCATGTGGAGAAAAACACTTAGAAGTCACAAAAGATTTAACAGGATAATCACCAAAGAGTCAGAAAACTGGTCAATCCTGAATGCTTTCAGATTACTTTCTTAGTATCTGACATCTGAAACAGAATTCTTCTTCTGTTGGTAATCACTGAGCATGTGTTAGAATTTCTAAATGAGAATAAACGGTTTGATTTGTCCAAACTTGTGAATTAAACAATTTCCGGAAATGTCAGATTGAAATCAGTGAGTAATAAACGACAAACTAGCATACCTGTTCCTCAATGGTGCAGTAAATCCCAAGGCATCTGAAGTCATAAACCGGTCAATAGGAAGACCAGTTCCGGCCAAAGCACAGGCACCCAAGGGACAGAAATTCAAACGGTTTTTGCAGTCTATAAATCGGCCAGCATCTCGCTCGAGCTACAGAACCCACCGAGAATCAGTAAAACTTGAAGCTAAAACAATAACAAATCATTGCTTAAGAAAAACAACAGAAATACGCACCATTTGTCATAAAAAATTAATCAAACGTGTAGCACAGAAAAAAGAATTAAAAAACGGCCGCTCTCAGATTTTACGTGAAGTAATGAATAAGAAGAAAATAAAAACGTTCACTCCTCTATTAATTTCGATACTGGACAGACATCTCAGTGAGGAGAAAACATGCTATAAAATATAGGGAGCTGAATAGCGTGATTATCCAGAAAAAAGGGTAAATTCACAAAACGAAAGGATTCAATAAAGACAAATTAAGACAATGGAGTCGATTCATAATAACTCCATGTGGCAGCACGTTGATTATAATAAGTACATGCCAGTCAAAGAATTTCGCACAATCAATCTCTAATGCCTTAAGAACATTAAGTTTCTACCACTGCCAAAACGTTTTGGCTAACAAATGGAGTTGAAAGAAGTAACTAATAAGACCTCAAACCACAACGCAATTTAGAAGAAATTGGTGAAGGCATTGCGGTGCTTAATAATTTAACATGAATTTCTTTCACTGATTCTCTTAGGTCATGAAGTTCAAGTTTATCATTGATTATTTTGGTCATTTCTAGAAGTATTTAAGGCCTCTCAAAGACCCTAGGGTATCCCAACCGTTTTCACTACTTTCAAGAGTGCGGCCGAGATTCTAACCCATTAGTCATCGGAGCTCCTTGGATTTCTAGGGTAGATCTAAGAGCGCCCCTTCAAAGGACTCATGTTGCTGCTAAATGGGAGGTTGAACTTTATGCAAAAAATAATAATATTTTGAATGAATATTTTACTGCTAGCTTCTCCAACAAGGTCATGGTCCCCCGGTATGAAATCAGGGTCCCAAAGGGTGAAGCTGAGAGTTACTGTCACGGATTTCATCCTTGTTTGATTCTTAGCATTCATTAGGCTGTGCCGGCATCTCTATGCCTCCAAGAGAAGCATGGTCGGTTGGCTGTTTTCTCCAAGATCGTCAACTACAAGTCGCCATCCACGGAATCAAGTATAATTTTTGCCAACCCTATTCTGGACCTGTCATCTAATTTGTCATCAAACATCTTTTATTCCCGGCTCTACTTGCCTCTAGGTTCCCACCAGTTCTACCTCCTTAGCACCCTATTCTAGTCCACCCTTAACAAATCATAAACAACCGCGCTAGTCAGAGAAAGTTTCTATGCTTCCAATGATCTAAGTCCAGCTTTGAATGCAAGGCCCCCTCCTAGTGACCTTAATTACGAACATAGCCCTACTGTAACTAAAAGAGGATATTTATTAAAGTCGACAACCTTCATTTAAACTGGCATTTTCCGATTTAATCAGTCACGTGCAAGATGTATCCCACACCAGAATTTCGACAAATGACAAAATCATTTGACAGCATATTACTAGCAGAAAATAATGCCCTCCTGGCTAAAGAACTCAGGCTTATATTTTCTCCAGAAGATCAAGAAAAAACTGTGCAAATTGAAATCTTTAACATCAGATGGAAAACTTATCGAGAAACGGAAAGGGTAGAAAAACAAAGTGTAGTTACAATGCAAGATGCCGTCAAGAGTCAGAAAAAAATTTCACCACAGGTATTGGACCTCAAAATTGGAGAATACACAGAAAACTATCCTTACCTGTTCAACATATGATAGAAGCAGATGTTGTAGGAGAACAGGTTGCGCCCTTTGCAGATGAGTGTATCCTGGAACTATCAGGCCTTCATTTCTCATAGCTAAATAAACTAGGACTACCTGAAATTATCGAAAACATTTCGAAAGCTAACCATTTATACAAATTTCAAAAACACGCGAAGTTGACGAGTCAAGCATCAAAACATAGCCATGCAAAAAAAAAAGTAGCATTCATAAATGTACATCAGACCAGAGAGGGAACTGATTGAAAACAAAGAAAAAGGTCACCCTATATGATACTCATGTTCTCTATCCTTTTGGACATACATCGATACATTTATTCTCCATTAGTCTAAGAACACGTTTACAAAAAGACGAATCTTTTCAATCATTGAGAAACAGACAGAACTGGAGAAATTTCTCATCTAATTGAAGCACAACACGAAAGAAACTGCAACCGAATATCAAAATTACATACTCCCTATACCAAGGGAAGAATGTTTCAACACTTAGTACCATTCGTCACATCTTTTTTAAATGGATATGTAAAAAAGAAAATGTTTTATTAATTAAGAAAATCTTGATATGAAAAAATAAAACCAAAGTAAAACATCACCACAGAATTGCCTTATAATGAGGCCAGTAAAATATCACACAATTTATGTTAGAAAGATCATGAACAATCTTGCATTCCCAAGATTGAGAGGTTTATAATCTTCAATTGATATAAATTTTAATTAACATGGAGTTGGAGCCTGTAATATTTTCAAAGGGATCTTTTCCCAAACTGTTAAGCCCCATGCTTGTTTGCACTTGGAGCCACATCCTTGTTAAATGTAGGAAATAAAATTGAATTTACCCTAATCAGACAGCCAAACAAACTCACAGACCGCACCAGGACTAAGTGCATGATCTTAAGGATCCGTCTGGGGACCTTTCGATATTTAGCATAAAATTCAGTCCAACAAGAGGTTATGAGGGATGCTAGATTTTATTAATAATTTTTGGAGGCATTACTTTCATCCTAAAATGAAACTTGAGCTAAAGGGCCTAACGTCCACATCAAGATCCCCAGGGTAACCAAACCTTTTGATCATAATAAAGAGAATAAGCTGGATTTCAGATATATTAAATATGTTCTGTTTTTGACAGGTTGCAGTTTACAGAATGCTTTCAGTATTCTTCAATCATTAGCCTGGGTATGGCAATACAATTACACGACATGACACAATACTAGATTCTCGAGAAGAGGATTGAGATCTTGACGACGCATAATTCTTTCTGCTCTTGAATCTCTTAATGATGCTCTCTGTATGCAATAGCCCAACCCAAATCAGCCACAACCGCACACATTTATCATACGGTGAGACGAAACCCACACAATAGGATCATTATTAAGGTCAGGTACATAACGTTTTGCTACCCACCAGTATATAATGTTCAAAACGTGTCCATCATAAGCAAACACATGGTTAATAGATGATGTCAGAACCATTGGGTACATCAAGAAAAATCTTATTGCATAATTAAACTCATGAACAGCAAGAAAACATATGCAGATTTATAACACCTTGGTTCTTCAAACTGTTAAATCAACCGCCAATTCTTTAAATTTGCATGCGCCATTCAAAAAAAAATAGAACTAGGCAGCAGACAAAAAAGACGTTGAAGAATCAAATATGTCCTTTCTATGGGAATGCATGCACAAAAGATAAACCATTTTTTATCATGATACTATCATGATAATGTAAGTTAGGACCATTTTTTACGCATGCAAAGATTCTTGATGAGATGATTTGTTACAGAATCGTTATACACACCATTCTTGGTGAATGCATAAATTACAATCTAGGTTTATTCTCTACCAGTTAGGTTCATATCTACAGGTAAGAGAGTTGACCCTTCTAAAGGTTCGGGGATTTGGCGGGGATTAACAGCAAAAGGGGATCTAAAAAGGAATTAATTGAAAATTTTCCAAGAAAAATGACATCTTTCATACGTCAAATAATCATAAAACTGTCTTCCTGAGCTGGAGTACTGGGGAATGATATAAAGGTTTGAATTTAAACAATTATTTTTCATCAAAAATAGTTTCTAAAAATTATACCATATGCTACATGGCATAAATTATAACAAATTAGTAGCTAAAATATAAAGAAAAATTAAATTCATCACATTCATTTTCTGACAATTCAAAGTTTTTTTTATTTCAGCAGTTTATTTTACATCTTGCAGTATTCAATTCGGCGAGATGTGCATTCATAAACATATCATAATTTACAAGTAGGCATGGATTCAACCACAACATAAAGAGGCATCAGAAGTTATTTGTATATCTAGGTAACCCGACATCAGTAGATCTGAAATCGCATAGCCCAAAAGTATAGAGTTGCCCTCCAAGAGATGCTATGCTATCAGTTGACATGAGAGAGTGAGATTTCCCTCATTCACAAGTCACAGCTAAATTGTATTTTAATTATGATTCTGTGTAAACAGTGCAAGAAAAAATTTAAAGCACTTGAGTTCAATTCATTACATGAGCGTTTCAGAAATCAATATGCACAACAGATGACATGAAAGAACCAAAACGAACATTACACCAATCTTGGATGAGATATTACGCTTATAATTTGAATTACTCATCAACGAAAAAATAGTCGCTAGAAGTGGTTTTTGCACAAATGGACATTCAAGATATTGATAGGGTTAGAGGAGGTTGATGACTCGCATCAAGTGTTAAGACGGTTTCCAAACAAAGTAACCTCGTGAGGCAATCGGATACAACCACGAGTTACCTCTTAAAATGGATGTCATGGGTCAGTTCTGTTCTGCAACTATGAGTAGCATAGTGCCAAAAATCTTCCAAAATAGCCCTAAATATCATGGGAAGTAGTCACTAACCTCCCTTAACGAGGAGAGTCTCATGGGTTGCCATAGATGTATGCAAACAAATTCTTGCATTTCCCGCACTGAATGGCATAAAAATGTAATTTCTACCGCTTAATCACGACCAACTGCTCAAATATTAATTCTCACTAACTTCTTCACCTCTTAGGGTGTCACAGTGGAGAAATTGGAAAAAGAACAAAAAATGAAAGTCGTATTAATGTAACTTCCAAATAACTAGTATCAAGACAAAAAGAGGTATATAAACCAAGTCATCCCCAATAGGGCATTGGATGATCAGCAAGTTACTTCATTGCCTTGTAGCAACATCTGTCTTTCAAGTAGTGTTTCCCAACTCTACCGTCCAATCAATTATGTACCACTTAATATCTTTCTTGTGGCCTATTTCTGAATGTATGCATTTAAAGATCATCGTAGGTCAAGTGAACAATTAAGGAGATCATTTAAAGTACTACTCAAATGAATGTACCCATTTAAAGATCATTTGAAGTACCATCCCCATCATAGAAAAATACTTTATTAACATTGAACATCTCCTTCCACATCATGCCAAGCCTCAACTCATGTATTCACAAAAAATGTTCCAAATGGCCCCACAAGTGTAAATCTCTAGCACAACTCCTAAGATTGACTCAAAAATATCTAGAAGAATTAGGCAACGTTCAACAAATAAGAAAAATCAGCAAAGTCCCTATTAATTATCGACAAGTTGTAGAAAATTTCTTTAAAAGTTCATCTTCGAAAAATGCCATGCCTCTGATATTGCCTTTCCAACGACGATTACAAATCCTCATTGGATACTTATTCAACTGTTCTACAAACTTTGGCTTTCACTGTGCTATTTTCCTCTGGTGAATATTATCAAGACAGCACTAATCTTTATCTCATTCAATTGGTTTTTTCAAACATCTAGAAGGATTTCAACCCACTTTTGTGGTTCATCATAAGTTTTTGATACTCAATCATACTTACATAGATTATACAGCATTAGAACACTAATGCCAGTACAAAACATGTACTTGGAATGATTAGTTGGGAATGGGTTAGTTCAGTCCACTCTGACAATATCTGAACAGTCTGTCATTTATCAACTGGAGCCAGCCACCAAGGGTCCTTCCTCTCCCCACTGCACCCATTGTCGATGGTAAATCACTGTCCCCCATACCAACAACAGCTGGGCATGTGGGTGGCCAGCCTGGGACGGCTTCATAGGTGTCTGTGTCAAATTCCACTTTTGCAGCTTTACTCTGGAACAGGCTTTGTGAGGCCTGTCCACCTGGCCTAATTTACTACTTTTATTGGGAAAAGAAATGTCTGCATCCGAAAGCAAATCAAAAGGTAATGTCTGTAAAGCTTGAAAGTCAATAAACTGCCAACAGAAGAGTCCTTTTGAAATAACAAACTAGTTACCCCGGGTTACAGGCTTGGCCTAAATCTCAACTCTTCTAATGAAAAGAAAATTCAAGAATTTTAGATATCAGAGAGAAGATAACATCATATAACGCAATGAAAAAGCAGAATGGTGGTCCGTGGAGTTGTCATAATCCAATAAAAATCGCAACCGGCATCCATTCATGGCATGTAGATTTCAATCCCCACCCTTTCATTTTAATTTGGATGAAACCCCAAAATCAGGGCAACATAGTGTTTGAGTGAAAATCCACCTCACTAAAGATTCCTACTTAACCAAAGGAAGATATTACTTTTACATTTTTTATTTTCATAGAGTCTAATCTTTGGGAGAAACAACTCATCTCACCTAAAAACTGAGGAAAATGAGTATTTTATTTTGGAAGATAGCAATTAAACCATAAAAAACTGCACCGTGCACTCAATAACATCTATGGATTCAGTAGTACAATCTACTAGAAGTTTCTACGAAAATTTTGCTTCTATTATTCCTGGAAGATTTCCTAATATACAATGCTCTCAATCTCCCCATTAATTGACGTCAATAACAGTATTCTTCCAAAATAAGTTAACGTTTTCACCGGTTTATTTTGGGCAAACTACTATAAGATTCCACAGATAAATAGAATTACGAATGTGAAAAAGTTTTAGATATGTTTTGAAACCTTAATTATATTGAAATGGCAACATGGAATCAGTTTCTAGCACATTTTGAACACGAGATAATTTATAAAATTTTGGAGTAAAAAGAGTTTAATCCAATGAAGGAATCAAGAATTAGACACTAAAAAAGGAGTCAAGAAGTAGAAAAAAGATATCAGAAAACTCCTGGATTAAATTAAGATGCATGCAGCTCGACTACCTCGATGACAATGTTTTATCCATAAGGAAAAACGAAGAAGAAAAGAACCTGAAGCTTTTTAATATGAAAAAGAATGCTATCAATAGCATCTCGACACCATAGACGGAGATCAGTGACAACTTGATCATTCCGACTTCTAGCAGTATGAAGCTTTTTAGCGGGTTCACCAATCATGTCTGTCAGTGCTGCTTCGATGTTCATATGCACATCCTCCCTGTCAGTTCTCCAGACAAAATCTCCGGCCTCAATGGTTCGTTCTATCACATCAAGGCCATTCAGTATACTGTCTCTGTCACTTGTGGTGATCAACCCCTACATTACAAAGGTGCCATGATTTAGAGTGAACAAATGCAATCAAGCGAGACAAATAGTTTAAATTTTCAAATGAGAACCAAGATTATGAGGAAGCAAATGAAAGAGAAGTATGAACATCTTTCCTATTTCACTGGCGAACCAATTCCAGCAAACATAGAGTCTACAACTATATGCACCATCATACACAGCCAGAATCTACCTCTGACACTTGAAAAATATTTTGAGAGCACTTCAAAATCCGTTTTCTATGACGGTATCGCGATGGAAAAGGGGCATCGGATGATTACGAATAACTTCTCAACTTTTCTGTCAGTTCAAAAGACAGCAACTTCAAAGATCTAGAGAAAGAATAAACGTGTTATGTCACCACCTGTGCCGCTAGCATTGTTGCGTGGGCTCTGCTTCCCCTGATGTCCTGCTTGTAGAGGGCCTTGTCGAAGGAGATTGACTCGCTGAACCTCTCGACAGCGTCCGTTACGCTCTCCTCGAACCGCCCTCCCCACAGCTTGTTCTCCTTCGACAGACTCTTCCCTCCGGCGGGAACAACTGACGAGGTAATGGTTACAGCAGCCTTCTGGCTGTCCATGGCTTCGACGGCCCACCGTTGGCGTCGCCGCCGGGAATGCTGCCAAAGGTAGGGGCTCGGCTCGGGTATGTCGTTCCTCGATGTGGTCGCCTGCCGGAGCAAGGAGACGACTGGGGTAGCCGGTTCTATCAAAGCCCTCATCGCTCGAAGAAACCGCGCGGCGGCAGAAGATTTCGGGGGGGTTTATGTTTGAACAGTCCGCCTTCGAGAATCGGATCGCCCGGCAACACTTCGACAAGAATCGAGGGATCGCCAAGGAAATCCTGCTTCAGGATAAAGAAAATAATTAATGTAAAACTTCATAAATTCCTTCTCAAGAATCAATGCTGCTGGAATATTCATATCTTCTCACTTCCCACTGTGAAATATCCTGAAATTGACAAATGGGTAGAGTTATTGACAAAGAAAAAAGAGATATTTCTCTTGGATCATTATATTTGTTAATAAATAATACACTCTTCTTCAGTTTTGCATTATATATGATTGTCATTGAGCGGCAAAAAAGTTTGGGACATCAGAACATATACTAATGTATCAAAATAGTAATATTTTAGAGGAAAATTCTATCCATGGAGCATGTAAATAGATAGTCTTAGGCTTTGCTCAAGGGAGACAAGGGAGGGGGGGGGGAGGCTCTCATGGATAGAATGTGTATATCATAGATTTTAAATGTATATATGTTTTAGCATTCTTAGATCTTATAAATTGAAGCAAGTTAAGTTGAAACCCATAAATGTCTACTGATCCATATTTTTTTGACAATTATGATGCCTAGATGTACCTTCAGATTCAATTTTTTTGTCAAATAACATGCAATAATTAAAGGTTTGATTTTTCAATATACAACAAGTAGTTGCCTAAAAAGATTAGTCAAAAATTAATAAATACTATACTAAGTCAATAAACATACTAAAATATCCACAAAAAGAGACTACCCATGACATGCAAGACTAGATCTTATTTCGTATTGTAATGCCTATTTCCAATGTGAAATGATTATGATGTAAAGTATTATAAGGATGATGTCGAGTTTAATGATTTTCATGTTAATATTCAATCACACAAATAAAAAATGAAATATTGCTGGAAAATATGTTTGAATACACATCAATCAAGATCTAAATCCTTAGGCCTTATTTCATTTTTTGTATATATATGCTTGTTGAGGCCTCAAATGGGGAAAAAATGTCAAGAATTATATAACAAGAGAGCCAAATAAAATCAAGAGAAATGACCTCATTATTGAAAAAAAATCAAAGGCAGACTAAAGTGAGTTGATGAAAGAGAAACATGTAGTCCCACAAAATTGTGTCAACTTATTTTGGTCTAGAGAGAGAAAGTATATCAACTCATGTGCAAGCCTAGTTAAAACAAGCAAAGCTTGTGTTGGCTTTAATTTTTTATGTTAGTGAATTATCCACATAAATCTAGTTTGAAAAAAATGATTCACATAACTCAAGTGCACATTTTTGAATCACTCTGACTTGTTAGATCCAGTTTTCATTTTTTTAGAAATGTATTCTTTAGGCCTTAAATTAATAAAAGTTAAGAATCACATAAGCATTAAAAAAATAAAATCAGATCAAATAAGTTATTCTAAACTTTTTTTAATAAGATAGAATTTGCATTGACCCTAGAGCTTTATGAAGAGAAAGAATCATGTGAATTACAAAAGTATGTCATATTTTTTGACAAAAGAGGAAAGTGTGTCAGCCCATGTGCTGATGTAGTGAAGTTAGATAAAAAGTTGAAGAGAGAGAAATTGAAAAGAATGACAAGAATAGTACATCTAACAATGGTAGAGAATCTCTAACAAGGATAGCATATCTCAACACATGATAGACTATTTACAACAAGGGTTGCATGTCATGATGCATGGTAGAAGAATATTTGACAAGACATATCTTGACATATAGTAAACAAATCTCTAACAAGGACAAATATCTTCACACATGGTAGACCAATTTATGACAAGGGTTTATGATGTATTCTTATTACTAATTTTAAATGAATGTTTAAATATTTATTATTAAATATAATTTTTAGGCCTATATGAAGAGTTAGATGAGAATAAACTAGATTTAAAATTTATTTAAAAATCATTTAGATGAATAATTGGAAGAGAGAGAAAGTGTGTCAACCCATTTCTAGTTAGAAGAGGAATGATACAATTCTAACAAAAACAATGCATCAAATACGCAGCAAAATATCAAATTATATGAGTGTGCGGCAATAATCAGATGCAAGTGACATGTGGTGACAATTTAATGCAAGAGACATGTGATGCCATCTATAACATGTTGCATTTGGACAACAAAAATGACATGTAATGAGATATTTGCCTACATGCATGACACATGACCAAGTTTGGCCATTCAAAATTGCCATGTGGCAACATATCAAAGATTTCACATGTTATATGGCAAGATCTCTCACACTGTAGCTAATCTTCTATGGAGACATCTAACAAGATCCTCAAATCTTTGGCATGGACAAAATATAGAATACATCTCTAACAAGCCAACTAACATGTGGTAGGAGAGTTTTAGAATGGCATCATACCCTGACACATTAAAAAATCAATGACATGTTAGAAGATTCTCATCTAATATTTTGAAGTTTGACTCAATCAAAAGCTAGTCAAACTAATGACTTTAACTAGTTTAACTATAGTCTACTAGTGGATCAATTGACATGTTAACCAATCATATCTTAGTTGTTTGAACTCCAATGATTGAAACGTTGGGCTTTATAAAAGTCCATTTGGATGAGTTTTGAAGTAATCTCTCACTCATGATAAAATTTTCTCATTTCATCATTTTAATTTATATGAGAAATTTTCTATCTATTCTTACGAGTTCAGAACTTCCTCCCTTGTTCAATACAACTTCATTAGAAATGAAGCATGCCTTCAAACATTATCTGGTCTCTATAAGTTTAAATTTTTCATTCAATATGAGGAGTTACTATGGGGAGTGCTTGATATGGGTAGACAACTAAGTCAGTGCCTTAGTATCTACAATGGGGAGATAAGCCCATGAAAACTATCATTTAATAAGAGGATTATAATGTCACAAAATCATTCAATCTATAATTTTGTGATGGAGAATAATATAACCAAGGGTAGTTATTCTTGGAAAGTGGATGTAGGCCAAAGGAAGAATAATATAAACAATGTCCTAGATGTTTTAAAACTTAGTCAAGTAAATGAACATTGACCTAGTTTAGTGACTGATTAATCATATATCAACCAACTATGTCAACCCACAAAATTTTATGTTGACCCAAGTAAGACTATATAGACCACTAGAATTTAAATTTTAATAAATATTTTAAAATTATACTAAAAATACTATAATATATTATAAAACTAATTCATCCACTTTTTGGTATATATATGCTAGCCAAGTAGGGACCAAAAAATTGGTATTAGAATTAACCTTAATGTATAGGAAGTAAAAATATTTAAAGAATAGACCTTACAATAAGGACATCATGAAGTGAATCTATAGAAAGATATTAATTGCATAGACTATATATGTATTCTAAAATTCATATGAGAACCTATATTTAAGTAATATATTTTTGGGTTTGGTAAGTTATAATTAAAGGGCCTTACAGTCAGAAGAAAATTATTCTTAGAGCATCAAGTAGAGAAATTATTGTCTCTAAATGTGAAGGCCATCAATATCTCATCAATATTTTTTAAGCTGTAGTACAATAAACAAGTGGGATAATAACGAAATAACTTATTAAGGAGAGCCAACGTGGAGTAAGTATGACTTTGCTGAGTCAAATTATCATGAAGAAGAAAATTTATGCCTTATAGATGAGACAACTATTGGTACACATCAATGGCAAAAATTATAATTTTCTATATATGAAATGCATGAATTAATTGCTGAAAAATTTATTGCATACAAAAATAGTAGGCAATAATTAAAAAAAACCATTTAAAGTAATAAATGTTTAAATCAAGAAAAAATGAAATTAAGAAATGAGTATGATCGCCATAATATTTTGTGTGATGAACATAAAACAAGACTCTACATATCAAAAACCCAGAATTTAAATACAAAAACTTGCTTAGAAAAAATGTCTAGAGGTAAATGATAATGTGTTTTGTTGATGACTGTGACTCGTAAAGAATGATTTGGATATTTCAATGAGTATGAAAATGTAGAAATGTGGCCCTAAGTATTTCTAGGATAGTCTAAGAGGACAAGGAAACTTAGGTGTTTAATTTTTTTTATTATTTACCAAATAATAGTTTCGAATACCATGGTGATTTATCTCAATTTAGTTCAAGTACAATCTCTTGTACTCAATGGTACTCAATAATGTACTTTGGATCGGGGCTTTGGGTGGTTTATGACTAAAAGTCTGCCCAGATCTACTTGATTTGAGGACAATTCAAGTTGACTTGAGCTATGAAGTTGCATCCTAACCTGCCTCCAAATTTTTGGCTTTTATCTAATGATTATCAATTGATGTACTAGGTAATAAACATGATCGCATAACAAGGGATAATCAGCAAAAAAACCATTCATTCAACACCAAACGTGATCAAGGAGTCATGAAGTATCCTTATGTCAAAAGGTCATGTCATCGTTACTCAATAAATAGGTGGTCATGTCATATAATATAAATTATCAATTTCCTTATGTGGGTTAATTTTTATTTAATTTGAGTGAAAAACTCATGAATTCCTGTGCAATATCCAGGCTCTTGTTATTTATCCAGAAATTTATAAATCTCTTAGTCAAACTAGAGCTTTCACCTTTATGAGATACTTCCTACAATAAATATTAATTGATACTTCCTAAGAATTAATTCATATTTGGTAAGAATTGTATCTTGAAGGGAATAAAAATTCCCATGGGTTCATAGAAGAGCTATTAATGAAATAGCTGAATAGAGAGAGTATGAATCTATGTGGATTATGTGCAGCAAATAGATAACATAGGTTTTTACATTCCATGACTAAATGATATTCTTGACATGATTGGTAGTTTAAATAATTTCTCAAAAAATGATTTTAAATAAAGTTATCATGAAATCTCGATTCGTGCAAGTGAGGAATATAATTTTAAAAATAAAATAAAAGTAATACTTTATTAATGGTTGGGTATGTTAATTGCTCTGTCTGATACTGATGTTACATTTATGTGGGCCTAGGCAGACATCACGGTGGAGGTAGAGAGAGAATCAAGAGGCACTCTTGAATCTCGCAAGCAAAAATACGCAATGGGCATGCACGTTGACAAGAAGTGTCTGAAAGCTAATTAGCACGACATGCATGGAAACGCAGAAGCCACATGCGTGTACATGCAGAGCTCAAGCAGAGGACTCCTCGTGAACTCCGCCATCATTATTTCCTCAATTTCGTGGTTTCAGCAAGCTTAGAACGAAGTTAGGAATAAGTCAGCATCTATCAGATTTACTCTATAAATTTGTTTGCTTGAACTCCCTGCCCTTAGTTGATGAAGCATTTGATGTAAGATGAAGTTTGAGGAAGGCTTGAACATAGTTCGTTTTTCTTCTCTTCATGCTCAAAGATTAAGATATTATTAGGCTTGAACTCCTTGGAGGAAGCAGGTGGAGGTGAAGACACTCTTTCTCTGATTTAATTATTTTAGTTTGCTAAAACCTTGATGTTGGGCTGAAATTGCCCTTTTATATGCAGCATATTATGCTGTCAATGGTCATTGCAACGACTGGATAATCATCTATTTTGGGTTACTTGAAATAATATATGCTTTTTGATCTTGTGAAAATCATAAAAATTCAAAATCAGATAATTTTGATGTGTGTTTTTAGCACATTTCCCCCTTCCAACTAGTTTTCCAGTGAATTGGCAGCCTATGCTTGTGAAACTTGCATCTAAAAAATATGGTAATCATCTGATGTATAAATATAGACTATTTTTCTTTTATGTGAATTTTTCCTGGGTTAATTATCTTAGTTAATCTATAGAAATTCACAATAAGTAACATAAATTTACCATCCAGAAATTATCATATTAACCTTTTTCATCAACAAAACAATAAAGGCTCTCAGAGCCACAACAAATTCTCATGGTTTGCAGATGGCTCTTCTTCGGATCAAGCTGTAAATAATGTATGGAGACAAACCCTTGAATGGTTTTTTGAATTAGTAGATTATTAAGTCATCAAAGAAAGAAAAACAAAATTTCTGGAACCTGTAGTTCTTATTTTCCAGATTTTTCTGATTTCTGTGTTGACTAGATGAACAAAACCAAGTCTTTCCAATTGACTTCCGGCCCCATTGATGAACATTGATAAAATAGCCTAAAATCCCCCGAGGACATTCTCTGACGGTGCTTTAATTATTTCCATGGATCTTCAGGCCTGTGAATGAAGCTAAGCCAAGAAACCTCTGTCCAAACAGGGTAAAGGATGTGTGGGGACCCTTTGGACTAATGCCCCAGCGCAGTCACCGTTAAATTGGTCACTTAACACTCATACACAGTATATTTGTCTACCATATACTGTAGCTTGTGTACATCAGCAATTCCCAAAAACATGCAGGGAAAGATGCAGTCTTGAATGTAAAACGTGAAGCAAACAGCTGTAGAGAATATCTGGATGTACAAACATGATTCGTACGTCATTTGTTTGAATAATTTCGCGCTCTGTGATCAGAAATATTATCTACAAGCAATAAATGGTGGTGGAAGGAATTCTGTCAGGAGAAAATTTTCATTCACCAGTAGTCTCCACAGGAGCAAGATCCATTCTTGAAATGGTGAAATCTCCGGACATCCCTGAGGACGATCTCCCTCTCTACAATCTTCGAGATGAACTTGGCAGCAGCATGGCAGTCATTGCATACCCTCAGGTTCTTGGCGACTCTGATAACAGAGCCTGGGGCAGAGTTCAGTATGCCAAATGCAATGGCCACCTTCTCACTGTGCCCACACAGGAGCATCTCCTTCTGACTGTCATCAACATCATGGAGAACGCACGATGTGTCGGGCAAGTACCCTTCTTTCCTCATTCTCTCCCATAAACTCTCGAGGTACTGCTGGACTTGCTCATTCTTGGGGTGCAACAAGTCGCCAACCATGAACTGGTGGACCTCGTCACCAACCTCTATCCAGCTACACCCTGGCTCCTTTCTAACTCCTATTTCCTTCATGTTCCTCCTCACTTCCATTGCTTGGGCCCAAAGCCCAGCAGATGCATAGATGTTGGAGAGCAATACGTAGTGGCTGGCAACATGGGGCTCTAGTTGAAGGAGATGGCTGGCTGCAATCTCACCGAGCTCTACATTCCGATGAACACGACATGCGCCGAGCAGACTACTCCATGCACCGGCACGGGCTCGGCCTGTTTCCATTGAGCAGATTAAATCATATGCTTGGGCCAATTTTCCCGCCCGACCAAGCAAATCTACAACACAGGCATAGTGCTCAGGTGTAGGTTGGATCCCATAATCTGACTTCATTCTGTGGAAAATCTCCAGACCTTCGGCAACCATCCCAGAATGGCTGCAGGCGGCGAACACAGAAATGAAGGTCACCTCGTTTGGCTTAACATTGTCACCTTGGTTTCCCCTGGTCACCATTTCCTGTAGCAATCTGAGGGCCTCCACTCCAAGCCCATTCATCCCATAAGCCATGATAAGGACATTCCAGGTAATGGCGTTGCGCTTGGTCATCTGATTGAATGCTCTCCTGGAATGCCTTAGGGATCCACATTTTGCATACATATCTACTAGAGCGCTCCCCACTGCAACATCTGAAGCCAAGAGATTTCGGATTGCATATGCATGGATCTCCTTGCCCTTTCCAAGTGCCGCCAAAAGGGCACAAGCTGGAAGAACTGTTATCAAGGTTACACAATTGGGCTTGTCGGCACCGTAGCTTGAACCATCCTGGTCTTCAGCCATGGCGGCCACCCTCACCCCTTGCATCTCACAGAGCAAATTGAAAGCATCACCGTAGGACTCGTTGATGACATAGCCCATGATCATCGTATTCCAAGAAACAACATCTCTGTCCTCCATGCTCTTAAAGATTTTCTCCGAAATAGCCAACATGCCGGCTCTGGCATACATGTCCAAGAGGGCATTTTGCACATAGCGATCACCTTCAAAGCCCCTCTTCACCACATATCCATGGATGTCTTCCTTCCGCGGGAAACTGGCCGAGCGCACACAAGCAGGAAGCACACTGGAAATGGTAGTCGCATTCGGTGTGAGTCCTGCATCCATCTCCATGTCTATGAAGAGCGACAAAGCTTCCTCATCGAGCTCATTTTGGGCGTACCCAGAGATCATGGCATTCCAAAGACCGAGCCTTCGCTCTGGAATCCTATCGAACACCCGGCGACCGTGCTCCACTCGACCACAGCTGCAATACATGTCCACCAGTGCACTCCCGACGAAGGAATTCTGACGTAAACCGTCGTTCCTCATGACATGCGCATGGATCTCTCTCCCCCAGTCGAAATTCTCCAGTCCGGAGCATGCGGGAAGAACACTAGACATGGTGATGCCGTCGGGTCGGAGACTACACCCCAACATCTGCCGGAAAACAAGTACTGCCTCCTCGAATTGGCCGTTCTGCGTGAGCGAGCTGATCATGGTGTTCCATGTCACTATGTCGCGGCAGTCGAACTGCTCGAACAGCATGCTTGAATCTTTCACCCTGCCCAGCTTGGCATACATAGAGATCAAGGAATTCTTCGTAAAGGTCTTTTCTCCAGAGTATAAACCAGTTCTCAGTCCGTAACAGTGAACCTGCTTGCCCATCCTCAGCCCATCTCTCCTCCTCAGATTCGAGCACGCCGACACGACGCTTACGAGCGTAAAGGAGCTTGGTGCCTCTGCGCTCTCCTCCATCATATACCTGAAGAGATTCAGGGCGAGATCCCACTCCTCGAACATGCAGAGCGCGCCGATCATCGAGTTCCATGAGACCTGGTCCCGATCGTGAATTCTATCGAACACCTTCCGGACACTGTCGATGTCGCTGCATTTGGCGTAGAATGTGATGAGGGTATTAGCGACGGTCACGGGTCGGGTGTGGTAGCCGAACTTGACGGCCGCGGCGTGGAGCTGCCTGCCTATCTCCAGGTCCTGGATCGCGCCGGCGGCCTTGAGGACGGCGGGGAAGGTGAAGTGGTCCGGGGGGAAGCCGGAAGAGGTCATTGAGACGTAGGTGGAGAGGGTCTCCCGAAAGCGGTCGGAGCGGGCATGGGAGCGGAGTGTCTCGACCCATGTCGCCTGGGAGACGGCTGAAGACGCCGACGTGTGACGGTGGGTGGGGGAGGATGCGCTGCGGATGAGAGGAAAAGGGGATGGCTGCTTGTCGCTGAGGCCGTTGGCGGAAGCGGGCGAGGGTTCCTTCTGGCTGGAAGGAGGGGGAGGGGAAGTGGGAGGGAGAAAGACGGGGGAGAGTGGGATGGCGGAGGCCATGGTGGAAGGAGGGAGAAGGATGTCGAAGGATAAGCCATACACTTGACTGGACTAAATCTCATCGTCTAAAGCCAAGCCACCGGCATCTCTATCAACCATATCATGCAGGACATTTTCACTCCATTCCTGAAAAATATATCTATATATATATATATATAATTTCTCCCAAGCTGACATTTTAAGCTCCTTCTGTCGCATTCTGTTTTCAACTATTTCTCCTTGGCAATCGATGCCTTTTACACGGAGCCGCCAAGATATTTTTTCTATAAAAAGTAACTGAACTTCATGTGGCAGTCTAGGTAGTCGTTATCTCATCCCCTCCCTCCACTGACTGAGATTCTTACAGAACCTCCGCACTCATCTAACCATGTTTGGATTTGCGTGCATGAGTGGTGGGCATGTCGGCACGACACATCATGGCACACAGGTTAGCACCGTGTGCACAAGAGTGTGCGGTGACATAGAGTGGTAGACATAGAGTGTGCGGTGGCATAGAGTGCGCTCATCTACGCAAGGTAGTGGGATAGTTGGAGAGTGGGTGAGGTTCATGATAGCTAAATACATGCAATGGAGTGCATGGCTCAATACATGTTCATGTGAGTGGAGGTGCCAATATGCCACAAGACTATTATAGTGTGCATGCGTGCATAGAGGATGTGCATGCATGCATGATTGACACGCACATGTCACATGCCAATGTAGGTATGTTGGATAGTGAGGGTAATGGGCCAACATAGTTAACCTTGTTAGCATCACTCTTCAAGGTATCTCACACCAATAAATTGTTATCTCAAGGGAACAATCTAGCCCATTGACATTAAGGGGCAATTATGTGACAATTTAACCATGATGTGGTATTGATGTGTAAGGATTAATATTGATATTTTTCATGGGCAGCCTCCCCTATAATCAGAGGGGTATATTTGTTGGAAAGGCACATTTAGTTGAAATGCCAAGAGGCAGGATTACGTATTTTTCAGATTTATGATTAATTTAAACTGAGATATATCCGTGTGGGAGTATGTATTTACATATGCTGTGATAATACTTCTTAGTACGCTCTCATCAATAATATCAAACTTTTTATACTAGTTAGTCTACCTAGTTACCTATAGTCATAAAGGGAACTACCTTTTTTATTAATTTTCTCCTCATAACTGCACAATGATTTTGATGAGATAAGCTACTTGGTCACTCTTGTATGAACTTTATCTTCACAAAGATTTGGTCACTCTCATATGAAATACAATTACTAGTGTCTTGTGTCTTTGTCTAATACATTCTTTCCTCATCACATAACTATCTTAAGACTAGATAAAGAGTAATGGTTATAGTAGATGAGTTGATCATTTTTCATATTGAACTAATAAAGAGGATGAAACTTTTTCATTTGTTGTTGATGCATACAATATGAAGAGTTAGATGATGAACATTAACTCTTTGTATTTTTGTTGTAGTTTCAGTCTAAAACTCTTCTCCAATAAGTAAACCATTGTCTTGTGTTAGTTTTTCTAATTTATGGGACCTTCAACATTTAAAGTATACGTTAAAAAAAATTATCATAAGGTTTGATCTCAATGAAGTAAAATGTAAAGACAATTTCATGATAAATAGAAAACTGAAAGCCTGTATTAGAGTTATCTAACATGTTATGAATGTTAGTTTGATGGATCCTTCAAGTGGAACCAAGAATTGGTATTATTTTGTACAAGAAAGTTACTGAGGAAAACTTTCAAGCTCAAATGTATCATGGAGTTCCACATGTGTTCAAGGAGTGATCTTACAATGTTACTATCTTACATCTGCATGGCGTCTTTGTCACTAATAGAGTCATTCCCAATGAAACTTTTATGTCAGTTAAAAAATAATTCTAAGAAGATTTTAATAAAATCGGCATATTTTTAAGGATTAAAGTTAAATTTTGCCTTGTATTTCGTCACATCAGAATTTTAGATTGAGATTTTAAATATTACACATAATTTCAACAGCAACATAGTTTTCTTACCATTAAATTCATATTCTAATCTTGAGTTATCTTCTTGACTTTTTTGTGTCGCAGCTCCTCAAAAAGTTTTCCCTTTTAGAGTGTAACTAGAAGATGATTGGTTGATTTGTAACTCATCTGCATGAACTATAAAATAGATGTTATATTCCTCATCTAGATGAACTAGTAAATAAATGTTATGTTCCTCATCTATATCAACTATTAAATAGCTAAATGTAGGAGCTCTCCTCAACAATATATGTTCTAACCATTTCTATATTCACTTTTGCTATTTAAATCGTGTTCTCAAAATGCCTCTTTAGTTGTAACACAGCTTGAGACATGATTAAACTCATTAGAGTCAATTCAACAAAATAATTTTTTATAATTTTGATGTTTAAGTATAGAAAGTTTTCTCCACTTGATCATTTGAAATTTCTCAAAACTTGTGATCATAAGGACCATTCTATGTGAGTTTCTAGGCACTATAGTAAATTATTTTAATAAATATCTTCATAAAAACTTTTCAATAAGAGTAACTTTTTCCACTAAAATAATGGGCTCTTGTTGGTTAGAAGATATTCATGTTGACAAATAATCATAACAAAATAGAAAGGGTTATTTTTCATAAATATATTATTGCATTAATGGTTGGATGAATATCTAAATCATATATCTGGTGCTTTAGTATTATATAGTGAAAATAATCTGCATAAATATTTATATGTGAAAAAAGTCAAAATAAGAATAAAATAATTTTTTTATAAATAAAAATAGTTGAGAGAAAATAAGTGTTGACCAATTGTGTTAAACTAATTAAAGTAGAGAAGGGGGAAATGTATCAATCTAGTGGACACACTAGATTTAATGTGACCCTGTGTAATGGCCTAAATATTATTTTACTAAAAAACTCTCATATATCTGAATTCATATTATATAAAAGTTAAATCATAAGAGTTCTCAAAATGCATCTCACTAACTAATCAGATTCTCCAACTTATTCTTGCAACATTTCTCTTGATACCTGTCAAAAGCTTGCACCTAAAGAGACCATAATGACTGCATTGGGGATTTATTGACATGGTGTAGTAGCATGCCATGCAGATATATGAGAAGATGAGGAAATTGAGGAAGTCCACCAAAGAAATGGTTTCTTGAGAAGAAGCTTTTTTATACAAATGCCAGCCCTTCAGATTCAATGAGAGTTCTTACATGTGTGGCGAATAGGATTTTGTGATGCACTTTGGAGACCTCTTTATCTAGTGGAACAAGTTTTGGCCTATAAGAATGATTATCAAACTTCAATTTTTGACTTTTATGCTGGGGGGGGGGGGGAGGAGGCTAGCATTAATAAATGTAGTTCGAAAATGAGATACATGATGCGAATGTTCTTCTCTTTATGCACAGATGGACTGGAACCTTCTCAAGCAAGAGGGTAGAATCCCCTATTTCAAATATAAACCTTTTAGGGAGATACAGATGTCAATAATAGAGTTTGTAGTGAGTGTTGCAATGTTTTGTAGATATTGCATGGTCTTAGCCATGTAGTGCAAGTTGATTCCTCTAATTGAATAAATGTGTAAGGCAATTGGGTAGCAAATCATGTTCTTGCGTACATATGTATATCATATGTATGTAACTATACAAGTTATTATTTGTGATTGGTACACATCTACAAAAGAGAGTGGTAACATTAGATAAACTTGCAAAGTTTCCACATGTAGATGAATTTCTGTGTATAATATCAATGGACCATCTCAAGAGATAGGCTGGGCCCTGTCTTATAAGAGTGATTTATTGGGTGTTCATTATGGTTTCCATGTGACAGGAAAGATGAACTTTTGTACATTGTGGCACCATGCATGGGCAACCTATACTCTCCTAGTTAGCTCCAGTAGAAGAACTACTAAGAAGGGAAAAGCTCGACTTTGCTTCCTGAATAAAGAATCACACCATGGTGAGGATTGAAACCTTTTGAACATCTTTAAATGCCATTGACATGGGTGAGGAAGCTAAATGAGCTACAATTAGATCTTCCCTTTGATGGAGAGAATACCATAAAGAGTTAGTGGTGGGGTAGCACGTATTTTGTTAAGAATATGTCTTAGACTTCTAAGAAAACTGCTTGAACTACCATCACAACATGAAGAAATAAGAATAGGTAGACGTCTTGGACTATGGAGCCTTCTTTATTTGGCTTCTCCTGTGATATGATTGGAATGTTTTGACTGTTGGTAAACACCAATCATGGAAATTTGAAAATTATTTGAATAATGTGATTTTAGAGGATCCTGCAGGATACCTGAGTTCAGCACCTTTGAGGGACACATCTATTCCTTTATATGATGAGTCATATGACATATGATTAAGCACCTTTATCCATTATCTGTATAGTTTCTCTTCCCCTCCCTCTCTGGATATAACATATTTATATTTACATATATAAAGTGAGCACATATTGTGTTGTTTTACTCATTCTTCACTATTCAATTTTATATGTTGGTACATCACTTTCTTGGTTTAGATAAAAATGCTTACTAACCAACCCATCGTGGAGAGATATAGAGAGAGATTTATTCTACAGTGACGAGACATTCATGGATGTAGCACATAATGGACATTGAGCGCACACACGAATCACTAAAATCGATGAGTAAATCCCCATTAGTTTCTTTCAATTGTTCTACCTGATATTTAGTCTTTGGGGCAAGCAGTTTGTCACAGCTCATAAATTTATATCAATTGTTGGTACATGATTATACTCCTATTGAAGCAATCATGTTTAGTAGAGGAATAATTATATCTCTTATTCTGACTCTCTCCCTTTGTTTCTCTCCCACTCTCTCATTCAATACTTTTCCACCTAGTATCCTTCCCTAGATGAGATCAGCGAAGAATGACTTTAATAACACCTACCCTAGTAGACGTTTACATGGCCTTGTTTAAAATCGAGCTACCTGAATTTATACCGTCCTTAAAGTAAACCCTATTGTAGGATTTTTACTATTCTTTTGTTCTTGAATCTCTTCCAATTCTATCACACAAAAATGGAGGAAAGGGGAGAATGTTTGAGGAAATCTACTCTAAATTCACATCAAAGGCCTTGGCCTTGACTGACATACTTTGAATTAACATTCAGAAGGATGTGTTCCAAAGGAGACTCTGGCCTTGTCCTCAGCACCAACCCCGAGCCTCAACTTCAGTGGACCATCAAATGGCATGTTGGTTCATTGATGCTATCTCGCATGTTGGAAGCCCTTAGTAGAGATCCTTGCTCTTAATATCTCTATCCTTCATTTGAAATCTATTCTTTCTACAAAATATGTGACGATTTTTCTAATTAATTTTGTAGACACTACTCGAAAAACTATTATGGAGGTGTTGGGCATCAATAGGTTCAACCTATATCATCTAAAGAACCATCTCTAATCATGCAATATTGATGCAAAAGATAACATAATCATGTTTGAATCTACAAAGCATAAATCTTGAAGAAACTAATTTCTTAATTTATATAACTAGAGCCCTTAACCCTTCAACCCACAAAGGGTTGACGTTCAATCCACAAGATCGATAATGGACCCTTAAATCTACAAGGGGTTGCTCGATTCTATCCAGTGAGATATGTACATTGCCTTGAATAACCTTTGAAGATCCTTCCTTTTTTTTTTAAACGTTTCTATTTTGATGGGAAATTTCGTCTTGGGAAGAAACACATTAATTTAGCAGCTCTTTCCAAAAGACGAGAATGCAATCACTCTACCAAGGATGCAGGAAGAGGTTTTATCCTCTTCCTGTTTCTCCCACAGTAAGATGAGCCGTTTCAGTGATAAATTATTAATATATTTCATTCTTCTTCCAGTGGATTTATCAGCCACAGATACTTTATTAGATCTCCATCATGTTGCAGGCTCCTCTCCGGGCAAAGTCTGTCAATCTCCAAATGATTATGTTCCGCCATAATTATCTTAATTTCAGTGGCATAGATGCCAAAATATTCATTATACATTCCTGAAATTGGTTCTTCTATTGAGAAACGCATAAGTAATTAAAATTCACCACTAGGCTATTAAATATGCAGGATCTACCACATTGCCGATGGATTTAGGATGCAGGTAGGACTTCATGAACAGATAGAGATTTTCACAAGGATAGTCTAAAAACCTATTACCGTTTAGTTCATATCTTCCCATAACTTAATTATTGTATAGTAATAAAGTACACAGACTATTACCCCCCACGTCAAGGAGTTTTGTTTCCAAGGTGCGGAGACTCTCGAAGCAAGGATTTAGGCTCATGGGAAGTACATTCAGGCTAATGACAGAAATCATATCAGACTCTCGCTGGCGGGAATATCACTGTCGGGCAATGCGGCGGCTGTGAGGGCAACCAAGGATTAACTGACGTGGGATTCACTCTAAAATGCCTGCAACCCCTACAGTGGACAGAATCTTGGCTTTTCCCAGCCGTCCCCCCAGGGACAGAAAAAGTTAAGCAATGGCAGGAGCGAGAAAAACCCCTATAATTTGTTTTGACGATCTCCAGCTCCAGCTGCTAGGAACAGGAGCGGCTTGCATGGGGTCTCTTTCAGAGAATAATCCCCCAAAGGGTTGCCGGCTGCAACCTCGCTTGTGTGGTGGACGGTGGACTGGTAGCGGTTCCCATGCATGAGTTTTACGAGACCAAATCCTTTCTTGCAGATGGTTCCACAGGGAGGGAGACAACTGAGACATGATAAAGCAGGAGAGACCATCTCCTTGGAGTAATCAACTTCAAAGTCCCAAGGATTAACTTATCAAGGAGACCTTGCACGTGGGGTTCAACTTAGCAGCTTTCGACGAAGAACTCATGCATTATTTATTAAGTAATGTGGTGGATGTGCGTATTTGTGCTTCCTAACAGCCACTAGAACTAAGTTTAGCGGTCTGCAAGTTCTTTTTATGGATAATTGGCCATTATCGACGTGTTCATGTTCTACTAGCCTTCATTACCTCAACTAATTCATCCAAACGTTGGCTTAGTCGACGTTCTTAGTTATTAATGTTCATCTTGATGAGCGAAATCATTCTCAGATTTGAGATCTCTGTAGTATGCTTTGAAGAAAAATGCAGAAATTTTGAAACATATTGTGCTATAGTTGCCTTCGAAATACTGTCAAGTTCAAGTATTTCTCTGATAATTAGATCGGTTTCACTATATGGAAGTTAGTGTTATATGAATGTCAATAGAACGATCACCCAAAGCGCTGCATAACAAACTCGGGCTGGGGGGACCTTACTGGGCCAGCGTTGGGCCCAGAAAAGCCCACAAAGCCCAGAAACATCACCGCATCTTGATTGCATGATCAAGATTGCCAATAATCTCCACGTATTAAGTGAGAAGAAAAAAAGGAGGCATGAATAGTTAAGAAGAACTCTTTTGGAACCAACTGCATTGCAAAAATCTGAATCTCTTCATAGCAACATAGTGTGGTGATTTGGGAAAGAATGGCGATTCTAGCAGACTAACCTCGAGCCTCTCTGCTTTCTGCAGAGAGATGGGGGTAAGGTTTCAGAAGAGTATTCTATCCTGATAGAGCTCCAGTGCTTGGATCACCTTCTCTATGAACGATTTCCGGTGCCACCGATACCTGTTCAGTACCAGGACGGGCGAGGATCAGTGAGTGTTCCCAAGAAGAAAACAAGTGTAAAACTGTTCTCAAGTCAGAGGGAGGCCTAGTTTTCATTAAGAACCATCGTCACATACTTGACTGATGCTTGCAGGGTTCTACTCATCTGGGGATTGGAATCTGCATATTTTCACCCATGAAAGAAGAAAACAGGGTTAAAATGAGTTCAGGAAGTGAAAATCCCAAGAGATCCGACTGTTGGTGGTCAACAATACCGAGGATCTGCTTATCTTGGTCGGAGGTCGTTGGGAACAGCGCCAATATTTGATGGCACTCCTCCTGCAGCTCCCTTGCAGCATTCCTCTCTGCACTTGGGATTGGGGGAGTGTCCCCTTCAGACCAAGATGGCAATGTTCTAGCGGCGGCTATCACGGCGCCATCTACAAAGTCTTCTCCAGCGGATAAGTTGTCTACAGGTCAACGAGAAGAAGACCGTATGATAACTCTTTCAGCTTCATTGACTGAGGGAGGGGGATGTAAGGCGAGATATGGCACAAGACAGTAGAAGTCAATGACTGAGAAACAGTAAAACGTTGCTTACTGTTGTGATAGTATCCTTCTGGCAGTCCTGATATGTTGAAGACAGACAGAAAGGAGTCCAAGTGTACTTTTGCACCACCAGAGAAGGGTATGTTATCCCATGGATTCTGAAAATTAAAGGGTACATCAGACTGAAGAGCGGATGAGGAGGGGTATTGTGATTGATCATATTTAACTAAGTGCGACGTTGGAATATCAGATCGTAATCTTATTCATACTGTTTATTAGCACATTTTCCATCGCATAATACTTCAGGATGTAGAAAAAAGAAGCCATTTGGGGTCTTTGCTTTTGTTAATCAGTGGGACTGACCACGTCACTGAAAATGGCATAATACCATCCACAGGTGATTATGGAACACAGAAAGCGCCGGTACAAAGCAAGATATGATTTTTTTCTTTACCACGAATGGAAAAGCAAGCAGGAGACACAATATATCAGAAGGGTTTCTTAATTCGGCCTTCAATTTACTACAATCTTCAAGAATCTTGCCGAGTATCACTAACCCCACCAGACATTACGAAGGAAGCTCACTTCCACACAGCTAGAGTGAAGGCGCTAAACTGCTTGAAATCCCTCAAATGTATACCAGCTGTTCTTTCTGAGCAAGAATCTCCAGTAACTCGCAGGAATGCTAAAGAAAAGTAAATAAATCAAACAACAGTCTTCCATCGCTCAATATATTCCCAATGCAGTTTCTTTTTCTTCTGCAACACTCATTTCACTTTCAACTGAGGTGAAATGAACTTTTTCTGTTTAAATACCAGAAGCTTGATGCCCCGCGGATGCAAATTCGATAGCCATTCAGGGAAATAAATTGTTATATTCTGGTGAAAACCATTCACTTTGGAGGCGTAAGAGTTGAATAAAGGCATGAGAGCATCCCGATTTCGAGGCAGAAATTGAAAGTCTCTTTTCAAAGGTGGACGTGAAGGGAAATGGTTACCCAAACAAAGAAATCAAGCTGTGAATAGTGATAAAGAAAAGCCCAGGTCTAACTGGATAGTAAGATTAGCTTCCAAGTATATTCTAGTGAGAGTGCAGTTCTCCTCAAACGTACTTTTGTTTGACCAACACAAGAACATAACCATTTGTTTAATTCCAGATGGCATGGGCAACATCAGTTATCAAAGCATAGTTCTTAACAAGATAGAGAGTCTTAATCTATGCTGTCCGCATCGTAACATGTGATTTGAGCAGGGATGAAGAGAAGGATCGAGGCGTAATAGTGAAGGCACTTGCATTTACAGAAAAACAGCAGAAAATAAGGAGAAATAAACTAAAAGGTGAAACAAATTGAAAGCAGAGTGTGACGGTGATGTGCAGGAAGAGTGTGGCAAATTTAGCAAAGAGAACAGTTAGATTAGATCCGGGTTTACATTATTTGGAGATTAAAGGTATTGTTAACAGTGAGGGAAGACATTAGAGAGAGAAAGAGCAGATATCAACCAAAGTGAAAGAAGATATCAGGGGTGGGTACTCTCAGTAGATCTATGGGTAAATAGACATGTCTATGGATCTCTCAGTATCCCAGTATCTATGGCAGGATATGTACGGCACCAATAAGGTGGTGGAAACCGTTGTCAGGTACATGTGTCAAAATGCAACCCAACACGAAAGAAGACACAAGACCGTTGTCAAGGACCTTCTGAATCGTGTTAAAGATCATTTTAACATACTGACTCAAAGATCTCTTGAAATTTTTAAAATACTGAGAAACTTTACATCTCAAATTTGTAATTAAAATAAGCTGAACAACCTACAATGTCACATGATAATTTAATCAATTGATTCATCGTTCATGAGAGTTGATTTTCTGATTTCATCTCCACTGGTATGCAACAACTGAAATAAATTTGACAGGGCATGGCAAAACGCATAAAAAGAAAATGATTAAGCAGAGTGAATACCATAGACGACGAAAAACCATATCTTTCCATTAACATATCATTCTTCTGCCCACTCATATAGCATATAGTCATCTGTCAACATTTCGAAACGTTTGGATCAAGAAACCACAAGTATTATGAAATCAGTGAGACATGCAACATGGCTATCATTGTAAACGAAGAACTATCATATACATATTTTTAATCGGTAAGAATAGGAAAACACAGAATAAACAGAGAAATCGGTCAAGTAACCACATAATCATACGGTTGTTATACTTCTTGCAGGCTGCATTATGAAAACAATGCATTATTAATTGTTAGACTATGATCAAATAATCTGTGACGAATGGAATGAGACTGTTTTATTCAACAAAAATTTCCACAACAAGAACAGTGAATTATGAATATCAATAATAACAAATGCAAGTATTATAGGACTTGACAAAGGGATGTATATGATTACCAATAATCCAATCACTAATTATGAATAGCCTTTCAGCCAAGTTTTCTGAAAAGCTAATAATGAATAGCTTGATTCAAACATTTATTTAAAACAAGCAAAAAAAGCATCCATAATTTCTTTTAAAGTCATGGGCTTTGGGGTCTTATCAGATGCAATACAGACTCTACTACATTCGTCTTAAGTTTGATCTGATTGCATCTCTAATTTTACATAATACTCAGATCATAAATTTGACTTGACAGTATGCAGAAAGAATTCATCTGAGTTTATAAACTATAGGTTTCCTCACTAAATTACTTGATGGAAAGGTATAAATCATTTCGTGTCCCCGAAAGTTTTCTTTTTTTCCTCGAAAATGACACACAAGATACTACGTAAAAACTTACATACAGAGTTCATCACGAAAAAATCCAACCATGAGTTAAGCACTCACTCTTACCGTTTCATTAGATGTCAACTAGACAAGGCAAGTAAAAAAATAGCATCACTAACTTCATGACAATTATCCTCTCCCATAATCACTGTTGCGAAGCCTTAACCATTCCTAGTTGCACAGTCGGGTAGGTATCTAAACCACTTATCATCAACTATATACTTTGCCTATTATCAAATCCAAAGACTGAACTAATCCTCATGCTGTTAAGGTAGCTCCTGGATTGACGAGAGCACTTGTAACCCTTCTATAAAACTAGTTCTACTCTATGATGATGCTGAGGAAGATACTTTGCCCTTGCATATGCCATTCCCGCTGTTATCACTATGTACTCTCTTATCGTTATCCCTGTATTTCCATCGCCATTGCATTTCCCTAAGCAGATGTCATCCCACATTGCCATCTTTAGCGGCATTCGCTTGCAATGCCATTACCCCACATTTTCATCAACCCGCACTGTTGTCTTTCCTCACCCTCATACTCCCGTTTCCCTTCCTTTTGATCTGCACATTCATAATTCTTGGCATTGAATAATAACCATCACTCAACAATTACCATTACCCTAGGGTTCAATCATTATCGCACCTGCCTAGGGCTTTTCTGCTGCAACTGCTCCAATCCAGGAACTCCACTCCATTATCTTCACCTTGCCATCTTTATTGCCTCATTCTCCCCTCTCCTTGTCGTCACCCTTACAATGTTCTCAAACTCATTATTGCCTTGAACGGTCAATATCCCTAGCCAGGGTTCTTGTAGTGCAATCACCCCCAAAAGCTGCCACCTACCCCCTTCCCCAACACCCCCCTGCCCTCTCAACCGGGGGTACCCAACCTTCCAGGTCTTGACCAGAAAAATCAGTTCGATACCAATTGAATGAATAGTATGGGTCTCAATCATTGTATATTGTTTTTGGGGGAATACTTGATCCCCTAGAAAGTGATGCATGTATTTTTGTGCTGATCATGGAAATTACCTCAAATTACAAATATGGATGATTCTCGAACAATTCAATTTAAATTGTAACCGTAACTGGCCATAGGATCACAGGCTGTAGGCTGTTTAAATCAGTGAAAAACAATGCTTCCATTGGTAATGGTACAGCACGATTTAGAGTGGCAAAAACAATTTGATAGAGCCCCAGTCTGTCTCTGGGAATCAGATGCATTCAATTAAAAACGGTCAATCTATAACTGTCCTCAGTGCCATAAACAGCTTTGATGTTTTGACCAACTCCAGTATCAAAAATTTCACTTATTTCCGTTGACGACAGAAGGCAAGGTACAAAATATTTTAAAAAATTGATCATACAAAGCCGAAAATCCGCTATTACATACAAGCCAAGACTTCTGCTGTGCATTATACAGGTTGAGCCTATATAATCAAGCAAAGTGAGAAAGATCGGGCAGCATAACACCCATCAATAAGTCATGATGCCATTCTCTCAGTTAATGATATGTTACATTTGATGATTCCTAAGTTATCCACTAAACTTATAACTTCGAAAAGTTTTGAACTTGGAAACATGAGAGATCAATGAAGTTTTAGCATCCCAAAAGTCACAAGAATAAATATAAGGATCATTTGAAATATTTGGTTATACAATATATCTAAATCAAACTTTTATAATTTAATATCACTCAAAGACTCCTTAGTATGGTAAGACATTAACATGAAATGCAGCACGATGTTTAGCAATGAAGTATTGAAAAATCAAAAACAACGGAGGATCAATAGCATCTCGGTTCACCTCATCCCCTTTCCTGATTCTTTGGCCAGCATTTATCAAAACCTCAAGCATGCGGTCCTTGAAACGCCAGTGAAGAAAGCAGTTTGGTTGAAAAGAGTGATTCAACATGTCTACAGAAGGGCAAGTAATCACTCTATAGAACTGGTACACCATAAGGACAGTTTAATGAATTCTGGAAAATATATGCATATCTTACAATGGAGGTGCAATGAATCTGTTAATGAAGAAATAAAGTTGGATATAAATGAACTAATAGCATTAATAATAGAGGTGATAGACGGGACTAAAATGAAAGGGATAAATTTAAATCCAGAAACTTTCAAATAACTTGTAAATAAAGGTAAGGATCAACATCACTTTAATTAGTCAGCTAAATGCAATCTACGGAACTAGGTTCCTAGTGATATTTTAAGCAAATATCATGTTATCCAGCCTAGTCAGCATTAGAATAAACTTCAAACTCAACGTGTTCTGCTCCATAGTAGAATATATCCCTTTCTGGACTCGGTATATCAAGCAACCACTCTATAGCCTTCATATGGGTGCTTTAATAAGCAGAGAAACTAGCTAACAGCAGAAATAATATGATTAATATCAAGTCTTAAGAGGATGAACCAAAATTTACGAATTAAACAATGTTTTCCCAAGAGAAATTTAACAATATTAATAAAAACATTGATGGAAACTGAAGAGATTGATGTACTCCATTCCTGAGCAAATTTTCTAGCACCATGTAAAATTGCTACTGTTTTTGTCAGCATTGCTGAAGTGAATATATTATTAACTCGATCTACTAAATATCATTCCTCATGATCACCAAATCATCAACAAAAACGATTAGAATGAATATATTTCCGTCTCCCCATTTGTCACTCCATATACTTGATTTTTGCAATACAAAGATTTTTGCAATTTAAAAACTTCCTCTAAAGAGTGTACCCAGAAGTACATCACCTGAAGACCTACTCTTAGTGGTCCCAATTCAAAACATCATTTTTCACATAAATATAGATAAATTCCATTGGTATCCGGCCATAAAATTTAAAATATGACCACAATCTTGACCCTGAAAGTCCAAATCATAGGTCCATGCAAGCTCTTTGGCGTAGTTTTGGCCCACAACCCATATACTTGAGATTTGATACCAGAGACTTCAATCCAACAAGCTTTTTCTCTTTATGAGGTTCCGTGTTATTCCTATGTTCCACTTTCCTAAAGAGATCGAGTTTCCTCATCTATCATATATATTTAGGAAAGATCATTTACGATCTATATGAAAGAAGTGATGGTGCAGGCCAAGAGAAATGGCAATGTTATGCACCTTATATCTCTCTTTCGAAAAGGAGGAAGAAGATTATATACTATTTCCTAAGGACCCATTACTCCTAAACGAGGTAGCACTGGTGATATCAACCTTGACTTCAAAAGTATTAAGCTTAGGGGAGTATAAACAAGCATTCAAATACTTTGGTGGAAGATGAAAGAAAGGGCTCTTAGGTGGAATAAAATTAAAACATAACCTGTGCCTGAGGATTTCGATGACATTCAGTTACTAACAAGAAAAACTGTGAAAATGACATCCACTCAATTTCTAGCACGATCATGCTCCTACTGTTGGTTCTTCCACTCGATGATCCTTTTTGCTGAAATTATGGAACACAAAGCCACCTCATTCTGCTATGGAATAAACGCACTTGAAGAATGTCAACATGCTTCACAAAAATCTGTGATGTTTCTTTTCATGTTCTACATTATTTTTTCACAAGATAAGTTTTAAAAGAGTCAAGACTAGTATGACTAAACATATCCCAACATACAAACATTATTAATTACAAAGAAATGTCTCCGAGACAGGAATCGCATATGTATCCTTTTCGTTTGACAATTTTCATCATAAGCCAACCTTAAGGTGTAAAAGGTTGAGAATATCCCAGGTGAGAGGTAGAAGAATCCTAATTCGTGATCGTCAACCGTTTGCTTCATCTATAAATTTCGAAAAAATAATATAATTTGGAGAAAACGTCAACACTCTTTTGACATTTGACAGAATATATTAACAGACAGAAAATACATGGAAAAGGATCATAAAAGAGTGTTGGCGAAGATGAAGTGATCATCAATGCAAGTAGTACCTTAATCAACAGATATGGCGATGGAGATAACTGACATGATCACTTTTCTTAAAATTATCTTCAGTAGGATAACAATATCTTTACGATATATGACATGTAATTTGCTTCTCCTATTACATCGACCCAAAAGCGACTTACTGAGTGACTAGCCGCTCTCATCCCCAGCCTACTAAGTAGATAGAAACAAGGGATCTAGCTAAGAAAGGTTCTTTCTGTGTAAAGCAGCTCTATCATTAGAAAAACCCACTTTCTGGATGACTATTGACCTTAAATTTATAAGTATACTACCTATGAGCATGCCTCCTGTATTTGTTAGCAAACAAACTCGACTTTCCTTTCTTGAAGTCGTTGGGATTTTTTCTCAGGGTATTGAATGCCCCAGTGTGTCTCCCAGTGGTTAATCATGCTTAACGACTCCATACATGCTTGCCCTTTGCTTTGTCCTTCTGTGTTCCGATTTCTCCTTGATTGAGGTTTCTACACGTTATTAACTACTTGAATGGTTCACCAACAGTAGTCATTAGAGAAGGATCATCGATTCAATGCATGATATTCCGCTTGCTCTCTTCACTATGGATCTCGTAGTAAACTTGTCCCCAGAGAGGTAGGGCATCTTTGTCAAAAATCCGATTTAGAGGTATTCTTACAGTTTTAGTGGACATCTTGAAAGCGTTCAAGGGACGCATGATGAATAAGATGTCGCTGCTTAATTTAGAGAAGCAATGTGATGCGAATCTGCAGGTCTCGCAATGGCCTGGTATGCAGTATGGAGCTGCATACACACTCATGGAACAAACGGATGTGGGAGATGAACCTACAGGAATCCAATTAACACCGTACATGGATATATGGGTTCTGCCAACACGAGGTGATACTGGAGGAACCAACATGACACTTGATGCTGTACAAGGACGTATGGGTAAACACAACTCCACACCATGCTGTGTATGATGCAGAAGGTTGCTGTAGTCACAGAGATGAGAGGCGTACCTCTGGATTTATAGCAATGCGTCCTGATATCATGTGATGCAGCAGAATGCTGCATGACAAGATGGAGATCCCTTGTGGGGTCTGAAAAGGAGAATCTCTTGGTGGAAACCACAGAGTTGGTCTGCCATGCTACACCGGAGAAAGACTTTTTTCTCACCAAAACAAGCCATAGGATTTCATAATAAGCACCAAAGAATCTAACACCGAAGATCGTGTCTGTATGGGTTATTAGGTTCATCATGCCCAATAACTAAATGAATTGCAAATAAGAAAAACTAGCAAGACAATGTAGTGCCGTTAAAAAGACATGACTCAAAGTTTGAACAGTGACATAGGAAGAGAAAGAGTACTAGAAACTCCGAAAGAATCAAAGGCAAAAATTAGTTCAATGCCTCAGGTAACAGGGCATAAGTTATAATTTAAAGGGCGTACAAGAACCTAGAAAAGGTTAATAAAGTGTGCATGATCAAAAAAATAAATTTTGGATAGCTTTCTCATCCAAAAAAATGTTGACGTTGTAATTTGACTTCAAACAAGTACCCCAAATCAATCATTTAACATCTATAGCTACTCACAGGATTCAACTCTGAGTTACTACTGGAATCAATGAATAATGATCCGCTTTCAAATCAAGAGGATGCATTTTAGTCAAGGATAGAACAAATGGCACATGAGGAAAGCAAACTAATTGAAGTCTCGGATGTTCAGCAGCAATTACTGACGTGTGTTTTCAATGAAAACCCAATAACATAGCAGTACCAGCGGGCATGACCCAACGAACTTAAATCAGAAACAGCACCTGACCCATCTATAACTATTCAAGCGTTTACAGATCTATCCAGTAGCAAAAACGCTACTTACCTTTTCACCTTTCAAACACATCTATAATTACTTTGCAGACACTGTGAAAACGTCATCAAAAAAATGAAGTAGAATTTTTCCCATTCACTGGTTCATGCCCTGAGTTCTGGTTGTCGAATGTACAGAAAGTTAAATGGATCTGATTGGCAGGTCTATCTTTTTCTTTAGAAAATGATGGACACTGACAGCATCACCGCAGTTTGATTTGTAAACAAGGTAGCAACCACAAACTTTAACAAAATGGCTAAGAACATATGAAGAAGCATACAGTATTGTTCTAGCTGTACTTGAGGAGCATGGAAGTGTTATAGAAGATGAAAAAGAACCTTAATTCGCAACAAGTTACAGAAGTTACCAGCATACGGAACAAGCATGTTGGCATCTTGAACAAGTGCACCAACCCTCATTTGCATGTGGTAGGAACGAGTCTGGACAATGCCTAGAGCCCACATGAATCTTTCTGAATCTTGAGCAAGACGCTTGATCCTTAAAGGAGCTGCAGAATGCTGATTAAATGAATTATGAGACGAATGCACCAAATAGATCATCATCCAAAAAATAAAAAAATTTAACACAGAAATCTCACCCAGTGTTTTTCCCAAAATTCTATTGCCCTCTGCTGCTGTGTTTTAATCTTAGAAGCCAGATTTTGATCTTGCAACTCCAATAGCTCATCCTAGGGTCACAGACAATAGAAAGCATGTTGCCAGCACATTATTCCGATGAACTTTATGGAGATTGAGGACTGCCCACGTGGAATAAAGTGCATTTAATTTAAAAAGTGCATATATTTCATGAACTGAAGCTCTTCAAGTCAATCATATTCATTGTCTACTTCTTCAAAGAAGAGCAGAATCTATTTGCTACTTCAAGAGAACACATCATTATACACAACTAAAGCATACACCTAAAAATCAGGACTACATTTATCCTGATACATACTACGATTCCTTGAGATCCAAGGAATAAATGGTGATGAGCCACATAAAAGTCAGCATTGGCTGACCCTTTTGCATCTCAGGTCGAAACTAGAAGTTATTTTTAATCGTGAGCCTCTACTGACCTTACTATTTTCTCTATTCCGCAAAACTATACCAGAATTAGTCATTCTTAATTTGATGGCCCATGCAGATTCAGGCTTCACAATTCTGAGGACAATATATAGAATGATACTTTGCACATGCAGATTGGTCGAAAAGCAATTGGATCTTTCTGATAACATAAATCAACCAAATCCAATCATCAAGTCTGGATATAGACTCCTGAATGATCAAAAACTTAATGAGTGCCCCTATGTACACACCATAAATTAGTAAAGAACACAATTAAACATGAAGTTTAATCAAATATTAGCAAGAATTGGGGCTAATTTAATTTTTAGCCTTTTTGAGTTTTCTCATTTTTTGTAGCCTGTCCTTTAATAGATCAAAAGCTTTTCGCCCTTCTTTTTTTTCAAAGTGATGTTCTACATTAGGTTGACACCTTGAAAAGCGAAGATGCAATAGGTGAACTAAAATCTAATTGAATACCTACAGTGCTAGATAAGGAATGGGTTCATTAGGATTGACTGATCATTATTATTGATCATCATATACCACTAATAATCTCCATACCAGCAGTGACATAACAGCACAAACTATTGAAGAATGTCAGTACAAATAATTTGAATAAGGCAGCAACACTAAACACACCATAGTTTTCAAATGATGTGCTTTACAACATGGTATTTGATTCCACATATGCACATTACACAAAAACAAAAAGAACTCAAATAACAAAGAAAACAGTAAAGAGTTTGGTAGCTAGAAGAAAGCAGAAGCTAAACAAGCCCCTTCCCCGACCTTGACATGTTCATTCCTTTCTCTACCCCCTAGGGTGCCTCAGAACATTATTCAGAGATCGATCAAACACAGAAACCCGAATCATTTTATGTACTAGCAGGTATAGATATTAGTGACCCCTAATTGATCGAATCTTTGCTGCGAAGTCTATAAATTAGACGTTGCAGGTTGAATTGGCCAATGAAATTTCACATAAAATTCTAGCATCAATACAATCTTTTGCTAATCAAAATTACTGTCAGTTAGAGGAATTACGTTTTAGCTAAGAATAAATCAAACCTTTGAAGCGAGAAGCAAGCTGGTGCACTCATCCAGACTAGGCAAAAAGTCTCCATATAGTTGCCAAAAGTTACCCTCCAAATCAAGTGCGAATAGAAGAAGGCAGGCCAACCTTAGATCCCAGTCAGACTGTATAAAGATAAACAAGGAAATGACAATGATGTATTAGATACCCACGTCAAAGTGTTAGCATGCAAAAAAAAAAAAAAAAAAAAAAAAATCTTTCTCGTTCATGCATCAAATTAAATAATAATAACCACCCACATCTACAAGCCAACATATTAGCCTTTTGGCAAAAAAACCAACGGTAAAAGAAATGGAAATGGAACCCCAGATAAAAAGCCGTGTGGAGGAAAATAAACTATTTCAGTTTTCTTTAATCAGCATTGACTTTTACGATCCATAAAATCATATAATAACCCTCATAAAGAGTGAACAGAGAACAACTCTTTCATACAACCCAGAAAAACACCATTACTTTGACTTTCAAACATTATTTTGACTTTGATTAATTGGCGTTTACATTTTACCGCTGGTAAGGTAAACCGTACAACAGAATTTCTAGAAGAAAAGCTGCTGGATATTAATATGATTAAAGGTGCTCCAGTCCCCTACCTCTCTTATGTTAGTGGGGAAGAGACATTTTGTGAAGAGAAAAAACACAAAGCAGGCAGTACAACAGAAGAAACAGCATCTTGAGGAGTGTTAGAGGATTCGTACAGTTTCAACAAGTGCAAGCCACAACCATATTCCCATCCATGGTAGGAAATATACCATTTACAGAAGCAAGCTTAGCCACCTCGATGCATACTACGAATTTCATAGGTATTAATTTTAGAAAGCAAACCCACATAAGTCTAGTAGAGTGGTATAATCGGTGGAATCATAAATTTGACATAAGATTCTTTTTAGAGCCCTGTCCTAATAGTGTCATGACTTTGAAAACCCAAAGTTGTTCCTTCATAGTTTTCTGCACAAAGTTTGAAATGACTTGTGCTTTATAATATCGCAGCATTTGGTATATTATTTGATGCTTAGTGAAAAAATTAACAAACTTTCCAGACTTATGGATAATGATCCTTATTGTCACTGCAGAAATCTTGGAATGGATTTCCACCTTTTATTTTCGGTATTCACTTAAATTCTAACAGAATGATCAACGGACAGTTAGATTGTAATATGTTTCTCAAAATTCTGTTAGTAGTTACAAAGTTATTCATGAAGCAACGGTTTCCTGTGTTTACTGCAGCAAAGACGACCTAAGTTTTTGTGAAATACCTGTTTCAAAAGACAAAGTTTAGAATAAAACACTCAGCAAAAGAAAACTGAATTATCATAAAATACTGCTTCATTAAGTTCTCACAAAATTGAATAACACATCCTGAAGACTGTAACAGCGAGACCCAGTCTTTAAAATCCAATGTTGTGAATATTTGGCACTTTTCAACATATTTATGGATCTTCTTTCAAGCTTGTTCAAAATAGGGCCAAATTCAGACACCAAAGAAATTTTAGTTATTCAAAAAGTGTTAGATTATCATCTAAGGGAACATTTCCTCAGGTATTGACAGGATCGAAGTTCTGAAGCTAGAAGTACATAAGGACCATTTTCACTGAAAAGATCAAAACATTTTGATTAACTTTTCCATTCATTATTTCACTATTTGTCCAGCATTTTTTCTACAGTCCAATAAAATCCGTTAATTGGTTTGTCAATGCTCAATCCTTCTGTTCATTCTTTTATAGATTCCAAGGCATGCTCAATGTGAGTTAACATGGATTAACGAAACCTGCAAGAGAGCGGAGCCATATGCATCATCATTGGCCTAGGCATACATCCAACTGCCAATGCTTTATCACTTCATTATTTAATTTATTTCATAGCTATTATTCATTGTCCTCAGTATTTAATTAGAAATTTCTCATTAAAATAAAAATTTGGTCCCCTCTAATGTCAATCAGTTTTCTTGAAATTAATAATCGGAAAAATAGCTTCTACAAAACGATGAGGCATATTTTCCACACAGATGATTAAATCTGACAAGAACATCTGTGGTTAAATTTCATCCGAATGACTAGTTATCAAATGTCCGGGAAATCACAAGGACATCCATGTGATTAAATTCCATCCAAATGATTAGTTATCAAACGTCTGCAAAACAGGAGTCAGCTTAAATTGTTTGGTACTCTACAAAAAAGCAAAAATACAGGGCATTGTAACTATAACATCAGAGAAATAAGCCCGCCAAAGTCAGCAAAAAGTATCTGAAGACAGCATTATTCATTCAAAACATCATGAATAAGTGCAAATCATAACATAATTGCAAAAAAATTATATTCTACGTCAAGAAAATCTCGAAAGTTTCAACCATTGAATGGCCTGAGAAAAAGTAAATATAAATAAACATAGGAGTGACTTTGGTCGGAAAATGAAATGATTTTTCTTCTCACAGACTTATTCTCGTATATCTACACAATGGAAAAGTTTCAAATAGACAAGGGAAACTAAAAATACCGAAAGCAGCATAATCTAACTTAAGAAGAAGATAGTATCATCAGATAGAGCACAGGCTTACCTCTGGCTTTGTTGAATTGATTATATCAAATATAGGATGACCAACTGGCACAACATCTGGAAAAAACATCCAAGGAAGCTTCTTGCTGATGGTTAGCATCAACTCCAGTGGAATTTCCATTATTATCTGATAAAAAACATTTCACCAATAACCAACCAAAGAAGGAAAGCATGGTAAAAAGTGAAGGGAAAATTATTCCAATTAAAATAGAAGGATGAAGAAAGTACAGACAGCATAAAAAAGGAAACATGGGAACAACCAAAAAGTGAACGTGAACACAAAAAAGGAGCATATTGCACAAAATTTTGCTTGTTCTGATAGTAAAATTGTCAATTGAAGATTAGGTCATTACATAGTTCAAAACCTTAATATTTGATCCTTTTCCCGGTAATTATTTATCCAGAATTATCCCCCATGAAACTTCAGAACTTGTAGAAGCGAAATGAATTCCAGAAGCTTTTTGATAATTCAATTATGCTCTTAGTGCAGTTAATGAATACTGTGAAGTACAGTTAAAATAGTTGGGAGAACCAGCAAAACAATTCTCGTAATCAATCATGAAAAATAATAAAATTATCATGAAATGTAAGAAAGGAGGCATTGATCGCATGCCATCACTACATTTTAAGAACTTGTCAGCTCAAACCCTCAGTACCGAGTTGAATATTAGAATTCTTAAAAATAGGGAAACTAATACATACTGGTGGCATCTTGTTGCTACCTGATGATTGATCTAGTCGTTCAAAATAGAAAGCAGTTGCATGATAACACTATAAGGCTTGAGGGTGAAATATTTTAGATCATTTATCCATTCTAGTTATTGGCACCACTTAACAAAAACCGAAGGCTCAGACTGAGAGAGTCTGGGATTCAACGAAAATAGTCCAGAGATAGGCTTGGAAATAAGGTTAGAAAATGATGAAATCTCATTCGAGCATGCTTATTGGCTGATGATCACTGACATGTATTCTTGAGTATTAAGTTTGTTCTCATCTCTTTCGAGAATAAAAACATGCATCTGTAGCAGATAAGAATCAAAATCAAATCATTACTTCACATTAGTTCCATTTTCAAAATCTTCCCCAGTTTAAGACCACCCAAGGATCCTGAGGCACAGACGACAGCACACCCAAGTAATAGATAGCACTAGTACATTAAATACTCCTGTTTGACAGTCACAGCAGTCTCCTGTTAAGCTTGGCCAAAATTTACACTACAAATCATCAAATTAACAGATTAATTCATCATTTACTCATGTCCTAGTGTTGGGATTCATGAAGCTCCATGAAAAGCAAGTGGTGTGACACTTTCATGAATTTTCATCAACTGTCCCCCAGTGGAGACAAGTCCCAAAACAAATAAGTTTCTTGTCAAGCTCGCAGATCCCTGGTGAGATTCTCGTTTCGTCGACCAGATAATAACATAAGCCACAAGAAAATCAAGAAAACTCACTTGTACTGATCCAGATTATACAATCTATCCTGTCCCCTGTACGGCAGCCTCCAAACGTGATCACAGTAACACAATGAAAACGTAATACAAGGGAAAAATAGTGTGCTACCGAAAATGGACCATGCAGATCGTGAAAAACCCAGTCCAAGAAAGCAATGAGATATCTTATAGATTCACAGATCTTAGCGTACGAAAAATCGAAAAGCACAGCAAATGCTACGTGCAGACGTATGCTCTGTCGGCTTCTGAAAATTGAGCTTCCCGGAGAAATTGTTTAGTGTGAAGTACAATCCTCCAAAGAAAATCACTCGAGGTAAACTCACCCTCGCTCTCCGCAGGGGCTCAACATCCCGAGAAGCGTACACTCCAAACCCATCCGGCCCTTCTTTGAACTCGACTCCATACGCCCGAACACTCCTAACGTACCCAATCTTGTAGAAATCGGGGTCCGCAGATTCCAGCTACGCAAATAAACAAGAAAAGATAAGGACAAAGGCATGGCATAAGAGAGACTCTTCCCCAGATTAAACGAGAACACGGAAGAAACGCCGAGGTTAGAACATTGCGGAGAGGAGGTAAGGGAGTTGTAAGCACCTCAGAGGACGACTCCTCCACATGCGGCGATTCGAATAGCCTGTATGGAGGCGTGCTGATCGAAGCTCTGATAGCATATGATGTCCTCCGCCTGTTTCCCAGCATCAGAGGATTGACGCTGTTTTCGCTACCCCTGAGATGCGGCCATGTGACCACACTTTGAAACCCCTGCAACTGATCGACGAATGAAGAGGGGGCAGAACTCAGCGGAAGACATCTTCATTGAGGAAGCACGGCAAGAGAAAGGATGTTGAAAAGCAGGAACAAACAGAGACAGAGAGAACCATTGCGCACCTTACCACCAAAGACGCTTGAGTGGGTAAGGCAGTACTGCAGCGGGAGAGAAGAATCCATGGTGGCACAGTGGTGGGTCGACGTTTTTACGCATCCATCTTCAACTCTTGGAAGAGGAAGAAAGGAGCGTTAGAGAAACGTCAACAGCAACCGGATAGCAGTCAGCTTCTGCGCTTTAAGAGGGCTACGAAGAAGAACAGGAAAACATTATCCATGGGCACTCTACCCTGTCAACCACCAAGTGTCGACGCCAGAGCGTTGCCGTTGCCCTGCTCAGACCAGGCTCGTCCAACGTCTACTATGGGTTTAGGCTATTTATAGATCAGATGGGCCCCACCTTTGGCTGTCGGAGTAAGCTTTAAATAACAAAGTCTAATCCTGAATAATATATAACTTCTAATCAAGATTCTGAACTCAACTCAAAATCGTAAACCCTAAATTCTAATCCTTAATTCTTACTCTTAATACTAATCTAAAATTCTAAAACTTCTTAGCCCTAAACAATAACCTAAATTTTAAATTATAAACCTTAAAATCTTATCACCCTAAATCCTAAACCTTAAACCTAGCCTTAAACCCTAAACTTTAAACTTGTCAAACTGTAAAATTCTCAAGTCTAAGCAAAATTTTAAATCATAAATCCAAAATCTTAAACTATAAAATGTGGAATTCTACCATACCCACCTCTACGTACTTGAAATAGTAAGTGCACATGAATGGGTACATATGCCCACCTTCCTCCATTTTAACATCAATAGATAACACTTGCAACGTGAAAGCTAACCTCAAGAATCACCCGATTCTCCACATAGGGTCTGTATCACTAAGCAAAAGTGGCAAAATGGCCTCATAAGTTTTTTGAGCATTAATTCTCATAGGACATTATGTCTTAAGCTATATATTCAAAATCTTAAACCATTAATCTTAAATTGTGAACCTAAAAAATCCTTAAACCTAAACACTAACATGCTAATTTCTTAAATCCCAAACCCTTAATCTTAAATGTCATTCCTAAAACTATAAACTTAAAACCACAAACCAAAATCTTAAAATCTTAAAACTTTATCTTAAAACTTTTGTAGAACAACAACCTATTTTTATAGTCGCGAACACACAGAGAGGTGAACTACACCCAAGTTATGACAATAGAATACCATCACGGGGTTACACTGATGAAGGGGAAATGAGAATAGTCTCATTTTTCTCAAAGGAGATCTCCTAATTGACAAAGACCTTCTAATTTTCACTGATAGAACACTTCATCACAAAACATTCCCACTTTGATGATATCTATAGGATCTATTTAACCCTTAGATATTTTCAAGGTAAGGTAGTCATCGGCACTTGTGAATATCAGAGCGTCTTTATCCATTTTGAGTTCGAGGCTAACAATCGAAAAGCTTGAAGTAAGACCACATGGGAGATCTAAGATACTATTATGCATACATATAGAAGGACCCTACAAACAGATGGTATTTTTAGAGGAAAACAATCGCACTCTATTCTAATTTGGATAGGTTTCTCCAGCCTACCAGCACATTTGTTCACGCCTAAGACATTTGAATCTTTAGCGAATGCATTTGGGACATTTATATGCCTAGACCTAAGCGTTAAAATATTTAATCACCCAAGTTATGTATGAGGATGTCTAAAACTAGACCTATTGTCCCCCCTTCAGCACATGATCATTGTGAAGAATAAGGATGAGAAGATCTACCAAACGATTATATATGAGAGACTATCTCATTTCTACATCTACTACACAGTTTTCGAACACACCATCCACACTTATCAACATAAGATCACCCCAACATCTTCAGAGTTTACCATGATTTATCTATCACCCCTCTTGTATGATGATTACATCACTAAGGTGGAAAAAACTACACTTAGCCACCCTCTCAATAGAGCTCACGTGCTCCCTCTCGACTACTATCGGTCTAGACCAGTGTCCCTCTAGCTGATCTTAGGAGGACAACTCCACCTACGTTGGTCTCACATCTTATCCCTCGAGTATTCACATCCACTCAAAAGGAGAGAAAGATGGTAGTAGGCCCAACAACCCCCATACTAGTAAGTAAGGAGAAGATAGTCAAGACATCGAATGTTTTCGAGGCTCTAGGTACTTTAATTAAGGAGGTTGACAATGTTCTCATCATAGGGAACGATATTAGCCCACGAGTTTGATGACACTCCCCCAAATAGGGGGGCCTACTACTACTTCATCCTCAACTAGCTCCTCTCTATCCATCAGACCTTCACTTCCTACTACCTTTCTGTCACCAACTAGCTCCCCTTCATCCATTAGACCCTCTCCACTCTCACATCTTCTATTACTTATTAGCCCCCTATCGCCTAAGTCTACACCCTCCCACACCATACCTCGCCCACCCTCTCACCCCCCTCCATCACCTGATAAGGTCCCTAATAGGATCCCATCAGGTACATCCCTATCAAACCCTTCTTTTCTTTCCCTTTCTCTTTCTCTACCACCCCACCCTCTAGATCCATCATTGAGCACACCCTTAGAGAGCTTGATAGAGTGTAAGAGCCCTAGCAAGGGAGAATGCTCGATGAATCATTGAGTAATCTCCCTTTCATTCTTAGTGGAGGACACTAGTAAGCGTTCTATATCGAGTGCTGAGAACTCTAGATTTGAGTCCTCGTCGGATTACCCAATTGAGGGCATTGATCTTTAGAGAGGGTACTAGACAGAGGTGGTAGATAAGACCTCACAACGACGCTCTCCATATGTCATGAGATTTAGGACTTGGGGCAATAGCCACCACCACCCATGATACCTAGCCTTATTTGGAATTATAGAGGGTTAGATAACCTTGAAACACAATCCCACATTATTGAACTCATCAATAAGTACTAATTAGGCTTAATCAGGCTTATTAAACCTATGATACCATCAAATCATATTCACCCATTACTTAGACGCCTAGGCATAGATCAGTTTCATTCTAACCTTACGAAACATATCTAGTTGTTTTGAAAAAGATCATATTCTCTATAATTACTAGTTGAAGGGCCACAGCATGGCCAAGAGCTTATATTCTCGGTCATTTATGTTTCACATAGACATTAAGATCGTGAGACTCTTTGGGAAGACCTAGTATGATATATGCGAGATTATCTCATACTAGTTGATTCTTCTTAGTTCATAGTCGAAGATTTCAACTACATATGTAGAGTCACTAAACATTAGAGGGGGCAGGTCTCTCGGGCCCATCACATGAAAATGTTTAATGATTTTATTTTTCATGTGGTCCTCATCGAGCCTCCTACTTTAGACGAGGTTTAGACGTGGTACAACGAGAGACAAGGAGGTGCAAAGATATATGAGCGCATTGATCGTTGCTTCACTAATAACATTACATCAGTACAATGTCTCATATTAATCACACTCCTACCTTGCTATAAGTCAGATCACATGCCGATCCTCATTGTCTCTGACTCGAGAGCTAATACCCCTAAACCCCTTTTTAGGTTTTAGAATATGTGGACTTAGCACGAAGGCTTCTAAAGCTTCGTATGGAGTCATTAGCACAGAGATATCTCAAAATCTCCTATAGAGAACCTCAATTATAAACTAAGGAATCTCAAACTTCATCTTAAATGATAGAATTAGCATGTATACGGGAATATCCACACCCAAGTAGAAGAGCTGAAGAAGGAGCTAGCTGGTGTCAAGAGACAACTATACGTTGAATAGACTAACAACACTTGGGAGAGACGAGTTCGAGTGAGTGAGCAGTTAGAGGAGGTTACGTGATGACATGAGATATATTATTTCCAGAAATCATGCATCTAGTGGCTATGTGAGGGTGATAAGAATACATGTTTCTTTCATGTCTCGATCGCACACCGATCTCGATCCGATTATACATCTCTTCTAGAGGTGTATGACCAAAACACATCTCGTATGCAAGATATAGGAATTATGTACTTTCATACCCATCTTGCCTCTCAGTCGATTGAGATCTTTGATGATATACTCTCATCGATTTCATCCTTAGTTACCCACTAAGAGATATCATCAATTATGATCATACCTACTAGGGAGGAGACCCGAGATGTGGTCTTCTCAATGAGTAGAAATCGAGCACCTAGGCCTTATGGTTTTTTAGCGGATTTTTATTCAACATATTGGGACATCATCAGAACAGATTTAGTTCATGCCATCAAAAAATTATTCTGTCACAAAGTCTTCCCATGAAGTTGGAAAGTCAACTTTATTACACTCATACCGAAGGTGGTCAACTCAACTTCTTTTAGAGACTTTCGGCCCATCAATCTTTGTAATGTGTGCTATAAAGTTATTTCCAAGATCATTACAGCACACTAAGTGTTTTTCTTAATAGGCTCATCATATCTTTAGAGTAGTACAGATTTGTCAAGAGACGATACATTCATGATAACATCATGCTAATTCACGAACTAGCTTAATCCTTTGACCATGACATCCGCAGTTTTAACGTCATCATCAAACTAGATATATAAAAGACTTTTGATGGGATCAAATAAAATTTCCTTACTATAATGCTTCGACACTTCAGATTCACTAACGAGTCTATTGACCTAGTCGATGCATGCATTAGGAATAACCATTTCTCCCTATTGGTGAATGGCACTTCCACACCTTTCTTCACGGCCATGTGAGAGTTACAGCAAGGTGATCCCCTATCACCCACTCTCTTCATATTGGTTGAAGAAGTCCTTCGTCGAACCCTCTCAAAAGCAGTGACACATGGGTTTATCTAACTATATCATTCGAAGAGGGATTACTCGATCATATTACATTCCTTATTTGCAGATGATGCGATACTTTTCCTTAATAAATGTGAAGCGTCCATCAAGGGACACATGACTATCATCTTGAGCTACGAGTGGGCCATAGGTCAACTCGTTAATGTCTTGAAGAGTAACTTCATGGTGACATCTTCTACCACCATTAGTATCATACGACACATATAGGACCTAATAGGGTTCTTTTGTGGTCATCTACCCTTTGATTACCTTAGATGTCCCATATTCTTTGGACGCACTCGAGTTCATTACTTTGATTCCATTTTGTGCAAGTTGAGGAAGAAACTTAACGGATGAAAACTCCAGCTTCTATCCCTAGGGGGTCGCATCTAATTGATATGTTATGTCCTCATGAGTATATCCTTGCACCTACTTGCAATATAGGGGGTACCGGACATTATCTTATGATCTGTGAGGCGAATTTGTACCTCCTTCTTATAAGATGATCAGCTCGATGGGCCTTATGGTCAACGTCGAGTTTCTTAGGAGAAAGCATGCCGACTGATGGATGAAGGTGGCCTAAGGATTAGATGCCTTGAAGATATCTTCGACATACTTTAGAAGAAACTAGTATGGCAGATGAAGACGATGAGATCACCACTAGGGACTTTTGTGTTAGTCACATATGGTAATTGGGTCAGCCAACTGACCAACATAAAAGAAAAGAAGTGATGGGTAGACTAACAAAGACATTGGCTATATGACACTCCTTTGGCCTCCTTTATGTCGTCCTAACCTCATCTCATGGTGGCTCAGCTTCTCAATGGAGATACTAGTGATGATCAACCCTTGTAGACTCTTTTTTGTTTGGATAACTATCTTGGGTCAAACTTCTCGAGAGGTCACCCATCTCGGTACTTCACACACCCAAGTACTTTGGTGCCTCTCAGGCACATTCTTCGAAGTTAGGGGCGTCTTGGCACGGTGAAATGGATGCCACATATGCCTCTTAGCCCATCTAGGGACTACTCCCACTTGAGCACGCTTAACTCGAGAGTTCTTATGGGATCCGGTGGCAACTCTCCCACTTAGGGGGGTTAACCCTTCTAGACTCTTACCTTAAATCAGAGTTTCTCTTGTAGTTCTTCTTAGAATTACTTTAGAAATTATTTTCCAAAATATTTTTTGGAAGATCTTATTTGGCACCCTACTATCGTACCTTGAGTCTCTTTCTCCATATGGAAATTGATGCATTGTAGACTTCCTACGGATGATTGTATGTCCATTACAGGACATAACATTTGTTCTAGGTGTCATCGTTATTTACTACTAGAGATCTCCATATGAAAATTGATGAAACTATAAGCCACTTATTTTTTCATAGTGTTGTTGTTATGAAATGTTGAAACCAACTCTTATTGAATTGGTCCCCAGTATTTCATCATTTTCCATCTCTTATAACCCTGGAGATTTTCAAGAGAGTCTTTGATTCGCCGCAAAGCTCTAAGGACAGCCCTTATCTACATATTTCCATAGCATACATGTTATGAGAAATATGAAAAGGACGAAATCTCTCTCATTTTACAAGTCAACAGATGCGCACCTTAGAGATCATGAGACACATCACACAATGGCTACGAAGTACTCATCCTTTGGTGTCACCTACAGCGATATGCTCAGCCTCCATTTGTGAGGCCCTTAGGACTTAGGGAGTCCAAGCCACGCGTACCCACATAGAGATCTCCACTCGGGTCATTTGATAGAGACTATCGTCAATTGAACACATGAAGTTGAACATCGACAAAACAGCCTAAAGAAACCTTGGACCTACAAGAGGAGGCATCCTAGGGGATCATATGGGGAGTACTCTCTTTGCCTTCTCTTATTTTTATAACGTTCAAACTAATACTACAGTAGAGGCTATGACGATACGTGATGGTTTGCTCCTCTATGAGGAACGCAATCTCCATGATATCATCATAGAATCTGACTCACGAGTACTTATTCAAATGCTACGTGCAAGTTCTTATTCCCATTGGCAGCTCCAAAGTACTTGGACCGACATCATGCATTATAGAGGGAGGATCAACACCATTACACACCAATTACGTAAAGAGAACTAGATGGCATACGCACTCACTATACATGCAATATGCACCCATCTGTGCTCTATATTCTCCTCTTGGCAAGAGATGCCGGCCGAAGCTCGAGGTCGACATTGTTTGATGTAAATCGACATGCCAGCACTTCATATACAGTGAACATGGATACCTGTCACCCCCCAACAGTGGTGGATCGTTTGGGCCAACCCCCAGCCAACACACAACCTGGTGTACACAGCATCGTCAACACAAAGCCATCCTCGCACTATGGATGGGAGGATTTCCCAACAATCTCAACCAAGATGATCAACCTCTGTTGCATCTACCACTTCACCTTTCATTTACCACTTTCCAAAGAGAGCTATGTCTTGTCTCCCCTAGTTCTCACATATGAGGGCTCAAGGATAAACATTTCATCAACATCCATATAATCAACCTTTAACCAAAAATAAAAAAAATAAAAAATAAAAAAATCCTAAAGATTAAACCTTAATCCTAAAAAATAAAACCTAAGTCTTCAACACTTAAAACGTAAAATGTTAAACCCAGACTTAAAACCACTAAGCCATAAACCCTAGTTGTAAACCTTAAATCCTAAGAAAACAACATTTGACAACAACAACATATACGTGCTTGAATTAAGAAGTGATGTGTCAATGGCTATATATGTGCACCTCCTACTCTGACAATAGTGGAACTTGCAATTGAAATGGTGGTCCCAAAACTCATCCTTAGATGAGAGTAAAACCCTTCTTCTATAAGCCTTGTCTTCTACTGATTTTCATGTTTTATGGATCTCCAACATTCCAAATCTCCTTCAAAGACACCATTTTTCAAAATACACAACAATGATATTTTAACCTTTCAATCTTCAAATGCCCTTATTTTTACAATCATTTTTTCAAATTTTAACTAAAGCTTCATAACTTAAAGAAAAATCAATTGTATGTCCACTTTGGATCCAAATCATCAAGTTTACCTTCATATTTTTCTCCATGTAAATAAATGGCATACCATCATTGTGATCATCTCTTCTAAACTTGAATATATCATTTTTAAAGGACTACAAAACTTGTCTAGCATTATTTTGAATTACCATTCCATTTATAGATGATTCCTCAATTGATACTCTTTCATACTTAAGTATTCATAAGGTAGTAGAATCACATATATCATAGTCTAAGCAATAAGTTGACTTCCCACTTAGTGTGCTAATTCAAATGGCAAGTCCAAACCTAGTTAGGTTGTTAAAATAAGCCTATTACTCTTTCAGCCCACCTTGAGAGCCACGATTCTTCTCTCTCACTATCTACTTGGAGGAGCCACCCCTCTACTACTTAAATTAGGACAATGTCTTGCTTTGATATATCTTAATTTTTATGTTTTCTTATTTTCTTTGCATCCTTCTTCTCTTTTTTCCTTGTCACCTAGCTCTAGGTGACAAAATTAGAAGATTACTTCTATTTTGAAGAGAGGCAACCCTTTGCCCAATTCTATTTGTTTCATAACATTACTTACATATTCATATCTAGAAGATTATCTATATCAAAAAAGGGTTTACGTAGCATTCAAACATAGAGGTGTGTTGTTTGACAATGACAATTGGATCATAGTGAAGTTCACTTGTGGAGTGATGAATCTTAAT